AAGGAAATTGCACCTTTATAAAACACAAAAATAAGGCCTTTGGGGTTCTAAAAGGTGGAGTGGAGTTATAAGGCTCCACAGCCACCCACTAATTCTACAGTAGACAAACTAAAGAAATTGGCCTCAAACAAAAGTGGAGTCTGATCAACCCTTTGTTTAAACCCTCTTTCCACACACACACACACACACACACACACACACACACACACACACACACACACACACACACACACACACACACACACACACACACACACACACACACAAGCTCAAGTCCATTTACTATTTGCTTTTTTTAGTCTGGTCAGCATCTGTATCTTGTTCATAATACCTTCTGCAGAGTGATACAACTTCCAGCAGTTTGGAGCTTTTCGATGGATGTGCACACCTTGAGGTGTTTCTGAGGTTGCAAACACCATCGAAGAAATAACTTGTTGTTAACCTAGAGTTGACCTGCTAGCTAAATATTCTTTTAGAAGCTGGAGGACAAACTTCTGACAGAGCAGGAAACAACTGCACTAATCCACTTCCTGTTGATTTGAAGAGTCTCATCAGAAACACTTAAGGCTTGTTTACTTCTCTCCCTCATTATTTAAAAAACATGCTTTTAAAGATAGGGATAAAGGAAGAGGAAGAAAAGAATGAATGTGTGAGAGAATAAAAACAAGACGTCCTGCTTGAACTTGCGCTGAGCCCCATTAGAGGAGCTGAGCGGACTCTGGCTTTTGTCTCAGCGGGCTATCAACAAGTACCTCATTACCAATCAATCCCTTTATTAACATTCAACTCTACATCTTAGATGAGCCTCTTCTAAAAGTAATAGGGTCCACCTTTACTCACACACACATCTCAGCATTCTCCAGAATGATGGAGCAGCATTAACTTCACATGAACACATCAGAACTCACAGGATTGTTGTGATCTCAGTTACTAACTACATCTCTTTCTGGGAGCTTTCTGAGCTCTCTTAGGTTCCTCTGGATCGTTGGTGGAAGTAACGATCCATACTCCATACTCGGCAGTATGGAAATCAGCAACCGCAAATGAAAGAGAAAAAATCCTTTAAAAGTAAGTTTGCACATAAATGCAACAATGTCCTTTGGAGAGATGTGAGACTGTTAATCACAGAGACTTTGAATGTCACATTGGATCTCTCTTTCACAGAAATATTCCTGAAGGTCTCGGTAAAAAGGAGCATGTACTTTACTTAGATTTTCTATCTTTTTAATAGTAATTACTAAATGTTGGCTTAAGAGGAACCGTCGCACCTTGAGACTCTTGAAAGACGTTGTAAATTCCATCAGCGGTATGGAGAAAATCACTTTTGTCCTTCGACTTCAAAAGGAGAAGAATATTGGAGAAAATATATAAATATTTATTCTATTGTCATTAGAATGTATGCATTATGTACTGTACCTGTGCCTCTTCTTTATGATTTTACTCGTACTGTCTTGCCCTCACATGTTCATGTTTCTTTCCAAAAAATAAAATAAATGCATCAATTTCGGTGTCTGTTGTTCCCTGTGAATAAACATACAAACAGACATCACCTGTGTGTCTGTTTTATCAATTTTCTATGACCATGGTGGTCCCCAGTCTTTAGCACATAGTAGCTTGGGGTTCCCGAGCTCAAATGTTTGGGAGCTGCATGCGTTACTGAACTTCTCTGTCTATTATTTTCTTGGTCTATATTTTCTAAATAATGGAGCAAAGAGGTAAAGACTGAAGGCCAAAGTCATAAATAATAACCTTTTTATTTATTGCATTGAAAAATTAAACAATATAGCATCATGTACAAAAGACAGACCATGCAGGAACTTTAGTTTGACAGTGAAATCACACGTGGAAAACATGTCAGGTGAGTTCAATTTGCATCGTATTTCCGCATCGACATACTGCACAGGTTGAATGTCAACAATGCTAATGATTAGCCTTCTCTTACTCTGTCTCTTACGCAGACACACACACACACACACACACAAACACAACAAATGTCCATGTATAGATCCCAAAAATATCCATATTTCTTGTTTATAAAATGTAGAAAAATTGCATATAAATACATCTGCAGCCGTCGTTTCACAAACATCGTGTTTACACAGAGGTGCTCAGTTTGGCAGAGTAAACATTGTGTGGCAACGAGTGAACTGAGCCTCCAAAGAAAAACAGAGTCCTGAATTTAAAACAGAACTCAGACCTCGTGATCCCTTCAACACAGCCTTTCTCTAATTATCCCTCAAATTAATTGGAATCTTGAATTTGAATCGTCCTTGAAAACGAGCAAAATTAAGTCTATTCAGTTTTGTTTGCTGAAAAGATGTAAAAGATCATGTTGAGGATGGAGGGAAGGAGGGAAGGAGGGAGGGAGGGCTAAATAACAAACTCAATAGTAGAGTTGTTCTGATCCTAAATGATTGTTTTACAATAAAAAAAGACAACAGTGTGGTGCTTGCAGCCACACAGACGCTCCCTCTCCCTGGACTCAGAGGAGCTCATAGGACTTGATGTTACAATCCCTTTTACAGTAATCTGTACTTAATTAAGTCTTGAATGGTGGGTAGGGGTTATCACTTAATTGGGGTCACCAGGTGGGCACCCTCCACCCTGATGGACCCACGACATCTCCAGAGGGCTCAACACCCCCCTCTGCTTTTACCCCTCCTGTAGGCCTATGGTCATCTTGCAGCCCAGTTGGGAGAAGTAGAATGTTTTAAATCTAAATTTTTATCGCAGAATATATACTCTACTCACTTAATATGCATGTTGCTCTTTCAAAAATGTACATGTACATTTCAAACTAAATAAACTAAAAATCATATTCAGTGAAGGTCTGCCCTTTTCTTTGTGGGGAGTATTCGGGCGGGGCCTTAGCTCCCTCTTTATTAACCAGCTGCCACTGGATCATAGACTGTAAATATTAATGTCTGAGGTCTGAGTGACCTCAAACATCTGTCACAGCAGGGGGCTCCGGAGGCTCATAGGCAGCAGCTGCCATGTTGGAAATGCTGTCTCAGTCTAACTTTCAGTCAAACTAACAACAGGCCGAGAGCTGGAGCTGAGGCAGGTTTTAAGCCTCCTGACAAACCGTTACATCACGCCCACCTGTCAATCACGTCAGCTACGCACCAAACTATGGAGAACTGGTATTGTTCATAAAATCAAAACAGATGCATTTAAAAGGAAATTGCCACTTGCACTGGATGCATCCGAGCACTTCTCTGAGTGTCGGGGCAGACGTCTAAAACTTGCTGTGAACAGTTGTGTAATCAGTTTAATATTGTATATGTCAGAGCGGGATTAATCAGCGTGTTAATTTTGATGGTATTCACAAATGGAAATTGTGTGTTATTTTTATATTAGTTCTTATGAAGTTCAGAAGCTGCTTTGCCTTTCTTTCAGTGTTCCGCTCTGCATGCACTCACTGAAGGTTTTATAAACAGTCTTAAGAAGTAATGTGTCAGAGAGTCGCACAAAAGAACAACCCTTTAGAAATAACACGATTCTAACTGCTTAGTCACTGGTTATAAAAAGTCTAGTTAATTAACGAGGCTGTGTTTGAGTCATCAGATCTACTTCTGCTTTTTTAAAGAGGGGTTAAAGTGCAGAAATATAATGATCTAAAGAAAGAGATTATTAAAGAGGATGCTTTAATTAAGAAAATTAAAAAATAAATAAAAGCTTGAATGTCAGATTTATGATGAATGAGTTCCCCTTTGAACTAACGCCTGCAGAGAAAATAATTACTAAACCTCGAGGCGATGATGAGAACAGAGAAATCAGATGTCAGCAATGTTTAAAACTGTGCAGAGATTAGGGAAATCTCAGGTGCCTCAAGAGAATCCAAAGGTTACACACTGGGATACAAATGAAGCTGAGGGCAAAAGAGAGGGAGGGCATCTGATTACAATGGTGGAGCAGAGAGAGAGAGAGTGAGAGACAGAAAAAGAGAGAAAGAGAGTGTGAGAGATTGAGAGAGAGAAAGAAAGTGAGAGGGTGAGAGAGGGAGAGAGAGAGGGAGAGAGTGAGAGAAAGAGAGAGTGAGGGAGAGAGAGAGAGGGGGGAGACAGAGAGAGGGAGATCTTTAAAATGCTGCACATTACAGGATTCCTTTAAATGAATCACTCAGTGGAAAGAACAGGCGTTTTCTGCAACATGCTTTTCTTCTCGAAGTGTTGTCGTTCTATAAATCGGTTCTAAAGACCACTTTTTGAAGGTCTCGTCTCGGAATCAAAAACATTTTTACTCAGTCTTGTCTTTGTCTCAGACTGGGCGGACTCCAGATTTTAAATCAGGACTGGTCAAGACCACCACTGAAAGGCTATTTTTCAACGTCATCACTCTGATTAAAGAGGAAAACGCCTCTTTATAAAAGAACGAATAACTTCAATTCATTCATTATTTGATTTTTAACCCCCGGTCTCGCCCTGCCTCGGTCTTGGTCTTGACTCGGTCTCGATCCCTAAATGTCTTCTGAAATAAAGAACAACATGTGCCACAGGCTTGTTGAGTGACCTTCATACTGATGATCTGCGTCTGTCACACAGTTGTCTTCATCTGTTTGATTTGTATCCTTGCAGACTGAACATCATAATCAATCATAATAATAAGAAATCTTTGAAGGGCGACTGTGATGCTGCTTCACATTTTGAAATTGTGTCTGATCAAAAAGAGGCATCAAGAAATAGAGTGGGACAAAATTCTTTTTTTTTTGTTTGACCTCGTGTTTGTTAATTTATATTCATGCAGAGTTTTCTTGCTGCACTTTTGAAAAATATAATCAAACCTGAATGTCTGTATTTATTCAATTTGGATAAATCATGACCTGACAGAATGAAAGGCAGCGGGAGAATATCTTGGATATGTGCTGAAGAAGTGACTGAAGCCACTGCAGACAAACAATAACTGAGTTACAAATGATTGATTGAATGTTAAAAAATGGGAAAATTGCTGAAAGGGTGAAAATATGCACAAAAACAGAAAAGACAAACACACACAATATGTTTGCATGAGTATAAATTAACTTCATGAGGACACCACAAGAACATTTACAGTTGTACTCCGAGCTGTGACAAAGTGCAAAGCAATCCTTCATTCATAACTTCTAACTTTAAGCTGACGAGGAAGTAAGATTTATGAAGCCAGTTAAATTAGTGAATCTCAAAGAATCCAAAACTGAACACAAAACATACTTCCTTTTTTTTAAGCATACATTTACTGAGTCACAACTAAAAGGACAATTACTCATCTCTTTGTTCCCAAACAGGAAGTTAATTGTTTTACATTGTGACGTTAATTTTCCATGCTTTCCCGCCCAGATAACAAAGTGAAGAAATCCATAACGTTTCAGTGTATGTGGAGGATGCAGCATCGAGCTGCTTAATGCAAACTGCTGTCATGACTCGCCATCGGGCGGTGAAAGGGTAATCTGCCTGCTTTTAAATGGAAACAAACTGTCCCTGTGAAATTATACTTCTCAATCACACACAGCGAATGCATTCATAAGAAGGAAATATATTCAAGTATTTTGTATTTCCATTTTTTAAATTTAGGGTTAGGAAAATAAATGTGCACCTCTTGTTTTGTGGAGGATTGCCGACCAACTTTAAACCAAAGCAGTTGCAAATTTTGCAATGACAGTAGAAAACCTCCCAAAGAGGGCCCCATCTGACCGTGTCCCATGCATTCTTTCTGTGGAAACCAAAGTTTGTCAATGAAAGTCACCAAAGGGAAATTAAGAGGAATTTTCTATCAGCGAGTGAAAACAAAAAAGAGGAAGATGAGTAAGCATCTGCAACCACCGCTGGTTGGAGGGGTCCCCCATGTATTTTAGCCTGGGGTCCTTATGGAGTCTAGAATCACCACTGACAGTACCCCCATTGGGTCACCCCAGCCCCACAAGTCTAGCCCCTGCCACTGTCAGCTCACTGTTCCCAGTAGGGATTCACTGTTTTTGCCAATCAAGGTTTTAGAGACAGGAAGAAGATTCTGCAGATAACCTCACATTCCCATCATGTTAGTCGAACTTCCATTATACCTTTAAAACCCCAATAAACAACAACTGCAGTCAGGGTCAGGTGGGTACAAATCATAGCTTTATGAAAAACCACCCTGTACTCTCAATGAACATAAAGCAAATGATTCAAGATGGACAAAAAATGGATGGTCACCCCCAAAAACCACAGCCTTCAAAGCCCCACCGTTAATCACATCAACACCTTACATTCTTATAAATGAAACACAATCACTGGGTCTTGATTGTAAGCAAACAACTGTTATAAATCTATCACTCACGCTACAGTAATAAGACACCTTGTAAATACGTGCATGTACGGGGTTTGGAATTACTCACTTTCGCTGGCTCGACAAACAAACTCATTGGTCTAGACTGCATATTCGTTGCTCAGGCACTTGTCATTAAAAACAAAAACAGAATAAAAATGTATCTTTTTTAACTCTGATGAATGTCACATATCATCCTGGTCTCTATATTCCAGCAGTAAAGGACTCTTCATTTTCTCCTTGATGCAAAAGGTTCATATTATCGAAAGGCATACTACTTGTGAGTGGCGCTCTATTGCTTTGATCTCTGTGATTGGACGTCAGTCACTTTACGACAGATAAAAGGCTTTGTGTGTGTGTGTGTGTGTGTGTGTGTGTGTGTGTGTGTGTGTGTGTGTGTGGATATATTTAATTGATCAGTTTGCGTCAGAAGCTTGACTCAGGGACTTTCTTTTTGCGTCCCAGCGAGGTTGTGCTATATCGAGTCCTCTGTAGGGTACCATAAGACGGTTTGTCCATTGTGAGGCTGTGCGACGGCGCCGGGTTTGTCGACATCCCGTTGCGGTGCAAAGACGCCGTCCTGCGCACGCTCTGCTCCGCTTTGTTGGGGATGTTGGAGGAGCTCTGCGAGCGCTTGATGTCGGCCGAGGTCCGTGCGTGCAATTTCCCATTTGCCAGATCGTCGGCCAAACGGCCGGCTCCATTGGACTTGCCTCCGTCGACCCCGGTTACTCGCCCCGCTGCTCCGTTGGAGAGAGGCGGTCTAGGGAGGGTTCTGCTCCGGCCTGCTTCTTCGACTCGTGAATCTTCCTCCTTGGACTTCCTCGAGTCCCTATCCTTCTTCATGAAGTTCCCTTTGAGGAATGACAGCAGTCCCTCATGGGGTAAACTCTTGGGCCCTTCTCCTTTCTTGGTCTTAGAGTTCCCTTCATATGCATCGTGGTGTTCCCTGTCAGCCTTGTCACCTTTTTGCCTTCTGAGGGTCCCATCATTTAGGATTGGGGTGCTGAAGCTGGGCTTAACACCAGCACTAGAACTCTTTTTGGTCTCGGGGTCCTGGGAGGCTTTGGAGGAACTCTGTTTCCAGGCATCCTTTCTCCTGGTGAGGGTGTTACTGCTAAAGCTACTGCTAATACTGGCGGCACCGTCATCTCTCGATTGGCTACCTTTGGCGCGTCTCAAACTGCCCGTCTTACCCGACGATCTCCTTTGCCCTCTGGGACCTGAGGGGACTCGGGGGCCAGCTCATCTTCCGCCTTACCCACACAACTCATGCCCCCAATACTGGGAGATCGTGCATTGGTTGCGCTCCGGCTCTCAGCAGCTTCCTTCATGCTGCGTGATTCACCCATCAAAGTGGTGATTGGATCCTTTGTGCACTTTGGCCGTCGGCCAGATTCCAAGTACTGTACCAGCTCCACGGGCGCAGGATCTTGGACAGTTAGAGGCACTGGGTTGGGTTTCCGTTTGTCTTTTGAACCGAAGGACCAGCGCAGGGGAAGCATTTTGCTCAGGGTGTCCTTGGTTTTGCTGGGGGCTCTCATACTGACGCTGCGTCCCTGAAGACCTCTGACAAATGGCCGGGTCTCAAAACCCCCTGGCAATTAAGTAGAGGGAAAATGCATTAAGTGTTTCATTTAAATGCAAGACTTTCACCAAGAAAAAGAGACTGAAAATAGATATTAAACTGATTCAACAATGGCATTTACCTTTTTCCTCTTTTGCACCATCATCAAGGAAGACCGGAGACTCAGGCGAGTCAGGCAAGGAAGATGGGCATGTGGTCGAGGAACGAGAGACCAGACTGCCTCTTTTGCTGTCCCCTGTGAGCCGGATTAGCCAGTGGTCTGACATTGAAGAACTTGTGGATCCTGTGAGAGACACAGAGCAAATGGGGGGGGGGTCAGGAAGAGGATAGGAAACAAGTGGACAGTTGAAAACAAAAAATGATGCAACTTGCAACTTAACGGACTCAACTTGTATTTTTTTTTACTTTTCAGTATGCAAGTGTAGCCTCAAGCTTTTAGCCTCAAGCACAGAAGAGGAATGGGAGAGAGAGGTCTGGCAAGCTCTCCTCTTCTTTTTAACCTCCACATCCCTGAGCTTCATCTGTATTTTAAATTGGTTTTCAGTTCCATCAAATGCTGACTCATGTGCTATCTCTTGAGGGAATTTCTTTTACTTATGGGCAATAACAAAATGCTTTGTCCAAAACTCCAAACTCCTGCAAACAAACAGACTCTGGTGTGTACAAGCATTAACATTCTCAAATAAGGACCCAGTTAATGAACACAACATGAACACTGCTGTGTAATTTAAAACCCCCCAAAAAACAGTTTGTATAACTGTGTAAACACAAACAGAGTGTAATAGCATCTGGAATTCCCACACTGTTGCAGACACAGCCGTGCCCCCAATTACTTCCTTTGTGTTTCCTTTCTCCCCCCCTCGGTGTGTTTGTGATTGTGATGGTCTGAATAGAGAGAGGGGTGAAGGAGCAAGAGTACAGAACATTGTTCAGTTGTCAGCTGTTTGTTGTGTGACAACAATCAGTAACTGTAGTCTGTAGTCTTCAAAGGCTAAAGGTAGAGTCCCGAAATGAACGCTCTCTGTGTGTTCTTTTGTCCAACTCACACAACACAGAAATTACATGTTTTCCCCTGTGCTGTCGTTTGTGTCATTTTTGTGTAAAAGGAGGCTGACTCTCTTACTGCAAACCAAACTTACCTACAGGTACCAATAAGTGACCTTACCTTACCTCACACACACATCAATGCTGAGCATGTGCTACATGTTCAACATTGTCAAAGCTCATATGAGAAACACTACTTAAAGGCTTTATATGCGATCCTCTGAAAATAACTCTGTGAGTCATGACTGTCTACAATGGGTGTAACACCCGAGTCCCACTGTCTGTGATGTTTTCAGAGTTTTCAGAGTCCTATCTTCACTTTGTTTACATCGTCCGGACGGCCGGTTGACTCCTCCCCTCGTGTATAAAAGTTGTTTAATTGAGGGACTAGAGAAAAGAAGAATAACATACTGTACTCACTGCTTAACTGTGTTTCTAGATCACGCTCATTTCAGGTAAATTTACATGCAGTGTGAAGATACCAGCATAATAAAGATCGCTAGCATTAGCATGCTAACACAACAATGCAGCGCGAGTTGTTTTGGTTTCATGCTGGTGCTCAAGGGCGACATCTGCTGGATCAAAAAATCTTTAAGACATGTAATTTACTACAGGAGTTGTTTGTAATGCTCATGTACTTAGTTGGGGAAAACAGATACTCATAATGATGCAACACAGTTGATGCGTTGTGCTGTTTAATCGCCGTCCTGGTTATCTGAGGAGTGGACAAGTTACCGCAGCGTTTTCCATCGCTTCATTTCTTTTTATTATTCATTGACCTGTTCCTCATCTTGAGCCGCCTCTCACTGCAAACCTGCTTCTCTGGTCTCCCCTGCCCTATCATTCTAGTCCTTCCCTGTATCTCCGCACTGCTCAAATATATTCCCCCTGATTCTGATCCAGATTGGCTCGGCTCATTGTCTTTTTCTCTGCCAGGACTCTCCACTTGACTTAGCCCTGCCTTCCCTCTCTGCTCAGCAACCTGTCACCAGACCAAGTCCCTAAAACTCATCCACTCATCATTTCTGTCCCACTTGTACATGGCTCAAATCCTATTACTGTATCCCTACATTGCATATCCTTGATTTCAGTCTGCTGACCTTTGAGTTTGCACTGTGTTCACCTGATCTGATCAGCAGTAGCGGAGGAAATATTCAAATCCTTTATCACTCGTGCATTCATGGAAAAAACTTTAAAATCTGGAATGAAGCTGAAATGATTTAAACCTCATTTGGTTTTATAACGATTCAAATTAGCATTAGTACTTTTTTAATGTAGCCTTATTGAAAATTGTGCTTAAAGGTTCGGGAAACAAAGTTTGCATTTGTAGTCTGCAGGTTCTTCTTTACATAATAGGGAAGCACCAAAAAAAGATTGGGGAATGTATGTAATCAAATTTTAAAGATGTATTTTTTTGGACTCTTTGTGCCTTTATTTGAGAGACAGGACAGCAGATAGAGATGGAAATTAGGCAAAGAGAGAACGACATGCAGGGAAGGAGCCACAGGTGGGATTCAAACCCGGGCCGCGGGTTTAGGCCTCTGTAGGGGGTTCTCCCACTAACAGCTAGGCTAAATTGGATTAAACCTGATAATAACCATCAAGACAAAGGCAGCTTTAAGAAACATGCGTTTGATTTGTTTTTTGATTTTCTAGATTGACCCATGTCCCGTCTGTTAACATGGAGGAGGCGGGGTCAATGACCTCTACTGCAGCCACTCAGCAGGGAGGAGCTCTAAATCTTTTGGCTTCGCTTCAGGGAGGTATTCAGCTGTACATTTGTATACAGTTCTATGTTATAGAACTTCCTGAACACACTTACACACCCTTGTGCATGGAGGGACATGGCTTTAAAATATGCAGAATCCTTTTTTCAAAGTATAGATTTTGTTGAAAAGTAGATTTAATTTAACCTTCAAGAAGTAAAGGTTTAGAATGTCAGAGCACCTCAAGGTTTGTCTTGAGTATTGTTCAGGCTTGACGTACATTAATTAAACACAGAGTGCTGAAGTAGGACCAGGCAGAATAAAACTCAAACAGGACTATAGAAAGATATTCTAATTTGAATGTGGCCACATTAGCACAAATTAAAACAGGACCACTGTGAGACTTTGTGACTGCAGGTGCTTCAACATTCGTGGTGTAAGACCTTCAGAGATTTAATAATGATTCACATTTGCTCCTTTATGAACAGACTTTCTATCGAGGACAGACTTCATTCAATAAGATGCATGGATTTGATTTGTTGTGCCGTAAAATGACAGTCTTCACTAACTGAGGTGTGACAACCTCGGATAGAGGTTTTGCAGACCCAGAATACGCTGTAGGGATTATATATCCCGTCTAGCCTGGGGACGCTTCAGAATCCCCCAGGAGGAGCTGGAAAACGTTCTCTGGGGAGAGGGAAGTCTGGGTTGACTTACTGCGACACAACCTCGGATAAGCGGAAGAAAATGGATGGATGGCTGAGGAGTTAAAAATTTGATGCTGCCAAAGTTAAAACCATAAAAAGAAAGAAAAAATACATTTTGGAAGCCTGAAAATTGAAATTGGTACGCCAATGGAAGCAACAGGGCCAGATTGAAGAACCTCTCAACCACAGCGAGAACGCTGTTCTTCCATTTTAACACCTCGTTTTTGGAATGATTGACTTTGATGCACAATCAACAGGTTGTGTTAGTGAGAATGAGTTTTTTGGGAGCTTGATAACCAGCAGATGCAGAACAAAATGTGAAGTTATCACCTTATTAAAGTCACACAATGTGATAAAAAACTTCCAGAAGTTTTTTCAGCTGTCCCCTCTGAGTCCTCTGAGCACAGTGCAGAGTCATGATTTGCTTTGACTCAAACATGCAGGGATAGAAACACATTACCCTGCCCATTCACTGTATGTAGCTGCACCTCTGTAACCATGGTGATATCATAAAAAAAAAACGCAAAAAAAACAGGTGGAATGTCTATTTGTTCAGAGAGGTGAATGTGAAAATCATTATGTTCCAGGAGCTCGATTCGATTGTACGAGCAAAAGTAAAACATAATGATCCCTCTAGAGTCTTACATCAGCTCTCTGAGAGATTCAAACTCTGAATCGATGGCTGAATCTACAGAGTTAGTCTTCACTGTTTGGAAATACTTAAAGTTTGATCATCTACACGTTACTTTTTCCAGCAATTTAAGATTTATATGCCGGCATTTACAACACCCAATTTGAATTAGGATGGGTCTTGTGATGGTTGGGTTCAATCTGTGTGTTGGGTATCTTGTTGCTGTTGGGTTGTTTTTTGTTGTTCTGTGTATTTTACATTCTCTATATTCTTGTTGTTTATGTTCTTGGGTCCAAGTACGCTTGACCCCAAAGGCCGGTTCATTTGATCAGTATGAACACAAACGTACCGCACTCAGGTACCGGGACCCGAGTGTGCTTGGAGAGGAGGACTTGGGGCAAAATTCATGTGTACTGCTGCATGGACCGCGAGAGATGTGAATGCAACCGAGTGGCCAATCGTGCTTGAGTATGGCACGGTACGGATGGCCAGTGTGTCTCGCCCAAGGACATGTTGCTGTAGGAGCTGAGGATCGAACCTCCGAGCTTCCAGTTGAGAGGAAACCGACTCTACCAACTGAGCCACAGTCGCCTCTTGTAGCTGATGATGACAAGGGGTGACAAGTTGGGACACTTTTACAGTATGATGGTTTTATCATGTCTCCTAAATTTAGTAAAACACTGTAGAAAGGTCGCAGTCGTCTCCTGAAACCAGTGCATCAGTTTGTCTCTAATGCTCAAATTAAACACATGATTACAAATATTTCCATCTCATGTACTTTTTTTCCCCCGTGTGTGATACTTCCATGATGAGCATACCTCTGACGGAGCAGCTGGCTGACCACGGAGGAATGGTGTTCCGCCTCTGGTAGAAGAGGATGTAGGCTCCTCTGGTGCAGACTTCCTCCTCGGGCACCAAGTCCACGCTGCTGTCGTCGTAGCTGTACCACACTCCGTCCACCGAGTTCCGACAGTAAGCTGTGTTAGGAAAAAATGACGACAACAATGAGCAACGGGAAACTTGAACATTAACACACAGTTAGGTGTTTTTGATGTACGGTCTAAAGGCTTTAAAAACTCACACAAAGTATTTCATTGAATGCGGGTGGAATTTTCCTTCAGCCCCTTTATTTCAGGTCATGAAACCGTCAAAATGAAATTATGAAACCTTTCTATTGATTCATAATGCTGCAGCTAAGTGAGCAACGCAAGCAACTGCGAGGATGAATGTAAAAGTCAAGTGAAGAGGAATCTCAGCTATATAGAAAAAAATACATAATATATACAGTAAATGCCGAGCATTTCAGAGCTGCTGCTGTTCACAAAGCATCCCCCCTGTTCTGTAATTAAAGATCCAGTCATTCCTCATCCATGTGTCAGCAGCCCGTCCTGCTGTCAGCTAGCCGAACCCCATTACCTGAATACTTGCTGGGGTCTCTGGAAGAATGTGATAGAAGACGAGAAATGGAAAGACTCAGCCTCTGAAGCTGCAGGAAGGGGTCTTATTTTTCATTTCATTTCATCCAGCAAACAATTGGATGTGTGTTTTACTGAGATACTGTTTTTCATTTTATAAATATTCTATTTAGCTGTTCATTAATTAAACTCTATGTTGGGAGAAGTGGTGAGTACTAAGAAACCAAGAGTGTCTGGAGAGTCTTTCCATCCCCCCCATGTGTTTCCACACATGCACAACTCCTGAAAACGTCCCCACAGTGTGAGCTTCAATGTTGAAAGCAAACTTGACACATTTTTCACCTCGACGTCAACCTAAACTTTTTTTTCCAGGCAGCCCATTGTGTGAAGTCATGGTGAGCTGATGTGTGCGACACTAAAGGAAATAGTGCCTGGGTACGTTGACAGCGCTTTTTACACTCCGAGCGCCTATTTTTCCATCAAAACCAATGCAGTCAGCACCCTTCAGTGCTCAGCGTCCTGAGAGCAAAAACACCATTAGCGTGAGCTGCTTTTCGTCATTGCGCTCACAGCACTTAGAATAAAAACAGTTCAACTTTGGGAACTCCGCTGCACCTGTCAATGTCAGTGTCACTTCTCCCTCACCGACCAATCAAAATCAAGAAGGGGCGGGACTTCTGGTATCAGCTTTGTCAACAACAATGGTGGAGAAGAAATCTATCTGACTCATTTTACTCAAACTCGCCCACTCACTCCTTCGCGCTGTTATCAGTCGCAACATGATACAATGTTTGCCCCACACACACAAATACACACACACACTTGAGTCCCTACAGTTCGCCGAGTCAGGTGACGAGGCTTTTATAGGTTTGGTGACGTGGGGATGCACTCCTACGTCATACTGTACTCCACACAGCCGTTAGAGTTTTTCAAACGGAAGGGAAGACACTATGCACATTTCTAACACAATATTTCAAATTTCAATACTTTGTACTCAAATGTCGAGATTGGGACTTGGATTGATCCATAACACTACTTAATACTCAAATACAGAGGTTTATAGTTGAAAAAAGTGGTTTTAGGGTTTAGTTACTCTTTAAGCACATGGAGTTATTAAACCCGACCTTTACAGTCACAACTGAGGGAAGCTGAAGTTACTTTTTTTCACAGCAACAATAAGCTCCGGTGAGAAGTGCTTTGAAACTTAGGTCGTGGGCGCTGGACACAAGTCCATTATCAAGAAAATTCACTGAGAGCATGTGGGTTGAAGACCTTTATATTCTGTGACTGGTCCAACTCTGTGCATGTTACCAAGCTTTCTTTTTCTTTCTTTTTCACAGGGGCCAGGGGCGTGTGCAGACTATTTGGACTGGGGGGGCCCACCTGGTGTATCGACTCATACACTCAAATTAATTTCAAATTTTTACCTTTTCTATCCCCACTAATGATACAGTATGTACTTGTAAGTAAATTTGGCAACAGATAATCTAAGATATATGAGCAAATCTCGAAGTACTTATAAAATTGCACTCTTGCACGCTGTCTTACTTGCAAAATTACATTTATTGGCAAGTAAGTCCATTGCAAGTTAGACAGTGTGTTCTATTATTTGCTTTGGAGTTTGGAGTTAATGGGAAGAGCAATGACTTTAAAGAATTATTTTACAACTGAAAGTACTAACAACAACAAAATAACTACATTAACTCGTAAAAAAAATCTATCAGCAGGCCGTCGCAAACAAACAGAATAAGTCTCTGATTAGGCACATAGCCAATTATTGATTTGGATTTTGGGATGGCACCTGAGCTTGGCAATCACATTTCAGGAGGTGGGAGCAATGTCACCCCTGGCCACCGTTCTGGACACACCCCTGACTATGGCTACGTCCAATTACATGCAGCATTGTTAAAAAGAAAAACAAAACAATTATTATTGTGCCTGAGTTTGTCACTTTGTTTACCACCTTGGATTTCAGCATCTTTTTTCTTTCATGTCTTACCTCTTGAGACCTCCAGCACCCCAACATGTGAATGATTTGTGTTAAACAACTTCACTTGGGACAAGAAACTTTTGAAGATTTCAGGGGCTGGCTGTCATGTGTGAAAACAGCTAATAAGGTTTAACATTTCCATACCAGTGTAATGCCCTCCATGCATCCCTCCGTGATGGTTGCACACAGCGTACAGGTCATACAGGTAGTCGTGGGGGAGGGTCATGTCTGCTGGCTGTTGGTGTTGCTTCCAGGAAGGCGGCCAGGCTCCCGAGTTCACATTCCTCAGACTCTGACTCCTCTTCACCACGTTGGGCGCCATGTCCAAACCAGTGAGGGGGAAACGCACCAGGGTGGACAGCTTGTTCCTCCGCTCACCGACCTGTTTTAACAATTCTCAGTCTTAAAAATGGTTCATGCTTTTTCAGGTATGACAACAGCACAACATTGAATTTGGAGAGGTTATGAGGAGTGGATTTGACAATTCAACGATTTTTACATTTTGCACTTACAACTCTCTAAAGTTTTGAAATAAATTCACATCGAAGACAATCCACTGGAGTAGCCTACCAGTTGGAGAGTTTGAGGGTATTTGTGCTCTTTTGAGCTTTACACCATCAGTAATGTCACAACAGGATTTTTGCTTTTACCGTAGTTCAAATCAGAGAAAGAAAAAACAACTCTGACTGGTGAAGGGAGAGTGGCTCAGACTGTTTCTAAAGAGAAGTTCAGCAGCAGTTTGCAGCACCTTGGGGTTTAGCTGTGTGTACCCAATAACCTTGGAGAGTGTGCATGCAAATTAGTGGAATTTCCATTGCACAGTCTCTGAAAGAGTGACGGACTGAAGTGCTCTACAAAAGACTGAGAGAAATCACAGGTGGATGGTCAGGCGGGGGGAGCTTGGCATGGTATGGGATGTGAGGTTGCACTGCCTTGTAGTGATTACTAAGGTTTGACAGATGGAGACAGCCTGGGCTGGTGCCACGTGCAGTGAAGAGAAGCAGGTCTGTGCCAATCAAGCACAGGTCAGAGGGAGAGTCGAGCTGGAGCCAACCTCGGCTTGCAAAATTGTTTTTTTCGCTACATTAAAAATCTAATTTCAGAGGTGGAAAAAGCCAGAAGTCTGTGTGGAAGGTGCCAGCTAGATAAAGTTGGGAAACAGTTGTATGACTTATGACAGAGCCAGTTGTGATCAGACTGTTCAGTAAGAGCTGGACGGTCTCTATGTCTGAACCTGGCTGAGGTGAGCAAAACAAGCCAGAGGGGATGTGCACAGAAATTGTGACTTCCATTAATAAAAAAAAAAACAACAACAATTTTTATCATTCAAAAGATTTTTGATTTCATTTGATTTAGTAAACAAATCGAATGAAATTATTAAACACACACACCTCCAAGATTCAGGTACACCAGACATACCTTCGGAGGAAATCCTAGCTTACACCTACAGTAGCTTACACCCTTGCTAGTTGGCTTAAGACTTACTAGTGAGTTAAACACATTTTCAATATTTTGACATTGTGGCCCATAATGCTGGTCAATGATGTGCTCAAACTATAACACAGTCACCTGCAACCAGCCTGCAGTAGCTGTAGCCATAGACTGGGTGAAGCCCCCGGCTAATGGGCCTTCTCCTCTGGCTCTACTGCCTGGATGTAAACAAAGACAGTGAAGGGATAGCATCTCATAAGAGCAGCACGCCATGCAGTGTCTCGATGCAGGTTGTGTCAGGTTAAACTGGCATATCTACTTAAGCAATGAATAACCACATTGAGCACAGACATGTGGATGCTAACCTGAAAGGAGAGACAAATGCTGGCGGTGCTAACATTGCTAACGTTACCCACACTCAGCAAACCAAATAACATATTTTACCAGCAGGCAATTCTAAATAAATAAGCTCTATTTGGGGTGATTTCATACTTTAAGACTAGTCTTTATTAATGTTCTCATTTTTTATTTATTTATTTATTTTTATTAGGTGCAATAAAGTGACAAACTGGTGATATATACATGACAAATGAGGCACAAAAATACAAACAGACAATGTCAGGACAACGACTCCAAAATACAGTAATAATTAAAATAAAACAAATAAAGACAGCAAAATACGAAGACATCAATAGACACACATCGTAAGAAGGGATACAGGAAGTGAGAGAAGTGATACAGAGAAAGAGACAAGGGGAGGGAGAGAAGGTGCTTAGAGCCGGGGTTTTGGGTTTGGTTTAAACGTTATTTGATTGGAGGGGAGGATGGAGGGAGAGGCAAAGCTATTATTTTTCTTTTCTTTTGAAAAATAATAGCTAAAAATAAATGTTCTCATTTAACTGACTGGGAAATTAGTTGCTATGAACATCCCTTGTTTATACAAAAGGCGGGAAATCTGTAATGAAAAGGGCGGGAACTTCTCTAATCAGTCTCTAACAGGAATTAATGCAGTCTGGATTTTAAATCGGCAAAATAATTATGACAGCTACAGCTAGACAAACATGGATTTCTAGCAGGACAATTAAAAATGTGATTTTGGTTGAGAAATGTGTAAACCCAAACAAGCCAACGGGCAGCAGCTGTCAGGGTATGTGTGGGGATGCTAATGAGTTGCCTGTGGATGCTGCTGTTTTGGAGTTCATCCCAGAGAATGGGCCATAATTTGACTGAATGCAACGCAGTGTTTCACTTTCCCATTGTTTGTGCTTAAAAAAGCCTCTTTTCACAGCAGACATTTTGGCTTGTCACAGTGGGAGAAGCTCGGGTGTTAGTAATACCATGAAAGATTCCACATTTCTTTTCAGGTGTTCCAGTAAGCCCTGACAGAGAGTCGGCATAGACTTGGACCCTGAAGCACAAAAAGCAGAATGTAATGCGCTTTTCTTACTGTGACAAAATGTCTCATGTTGAGAAGAAACGCTGCAATATTTAATAATAACACGAGGTAGTTAATATATATTCTAACCAAAAATTATTAGTGTGGTGTATTTGCAGTGGCTATTCTAGGGTCTGTTAGCAACATTCATTGGGGGCCCCTCCAACCAGCGTTAATTATTGTTTTCCTCTTTCCTCTTTCACTGCCCGACGGATAATTCTTCTTCATTTTCCTTCATTGACAGATTTTGGTTTTCAGAGCAAAATGCATGCAACACTTAACAGCACACTGAGAGTAAGTGCTATCAGATAGAGCCTCCTTTGGGAGGTTTCCTACTGCCTGAGTGATTATGGGTTGTTTTTAGCTGTGGATGACTGTATGCGTGAACTTTATAATTTTGTTGTACAATTGTAGAATGACAATAAAGACATTCTATTCTTTGCCACATTTGCACATATTGAGGCAATGCTGGGGTTTAAAGTTTGTCAGTCGTTGGGGGCCCCCTACTGGCCTGGGACCCCAAGCAGATGCCTTCCTTGCCTATTGAGAAGCACCGCCTCTGTGTATTTGTATTTATAAATCTGTCTGCAGCCATGCTACCACATTGGAAAAGCTGCACTCAGGCACGGCAGTGAGGTTGTCAAAATGTTCCATACTTGTTTTAAAACAATTCAATGTACTTTATTTTAATGATCCAAAGTGTCAAAAAGTAACAAAACTACAAATCTTAAGTCACATGATATTGATGACGATGATGATTGTTTTGTTTGATAATGACAACGTTATTTAGGATTATTTTGATGCAGATTAGAACTCTCAAGAACAGCTTTAGATGTTGTGCTCGGCCTCTGGTCACTTCCTGTCTGCACCTCTGGTCACTTCCTGTCAGCACCTGTGTGTCCGATCAGACTTTAAGCTGTTTGTTTGCACTTCCTGACGTTGTTTCCTCCTCCCTAGATCCTTACTTGTTTTGTACTTACTAACAATGATGTACGTCGCTTTGGATAAAAGCATCTGCTAAATAAATTGTAGAATTGTAGAATTGTAGAATTGTAGAATTGTAGAATTGTAGGCATATTTTAACCAAAAGCAGCCACGAGGGAAAGAGAGACAGAATTGTTTAAATTGCATTATTAGGTTGGCAATGTTGCACACCATACCTGTGTAATTCAGACAGTGTGTAGTAGTGTAGTGCATTTTTTGGTTTTAAATAACAATATATTATTCAATATTACATGTCAAGGACTTGTATTTGAATGCCTTGGTATTGACACAAAATCATTTCATTTTTCCTAGAATTGTATTGAAGTTTTAAAATCTGGTAGGGGTGACGTCAGCCTACTGTAGTTGTTGGTGTGCACGCCCCATGTATGGAGGCTAAAGTCCTCCCAGCGGGCAGGCCAGGTTGGAATCCAACCTGTGGCTAATTTTCCTGCATGTCATTGCCCACTCTCTCTTTCCCTGATTTCTTACTCTAGCCACGAGCCAAAAAATAAATCCTTTAAAGTCTAGCATCGTGCTAACCCTGCTTGTTGATGCATTGCACTAAATTCTTGGACCAGCCTGGCATCATGCAAACAGTAGCCATGCAATCTCATTACAATTAATCTGATTGAGGATTTGGACTTCCCTGTATGGATCATAAATAAAGGGATCCTATCATGACTTGTGTCTACATGCATTAATTATTAACTCAGAATAAAACCATATTTCACATGCGCAGCGCTGTCCTACCACTCTGATTAGTCACAAGCAGCAGAAGAAGAAGCTGTTTCCTTCCTGTTAACAAAAATAAAAAAACGCTTTACCTAGTGAGACATTGATCTGTCTTCCTCTGTTTTCCTTAAGGTAGCCACTTTTCCAGTTTGAATGAACGACGTGTTTGGAATTTGAATGGAGAAAATGCAGCTTATGTGGAGGCTTCACCTCAAAATACTTCAGTTTGACAGGAAGTGGTGTAGCAGCATATACGACTGTGCATTTAAGTCCCATCATTGGAGGCATGCCCTCTATGAAGGATGCAGCAGTGAAAGGCATTTTAATGTGCGTCTTGGATGGAAGCCATGAGCGTCTGGCGCGCTGCAGGTAAAAAATATACTACTGTCTGCTTACCTTGCTGCAGTCTGGCAGGAGCTCTCGACACAAACCGAGCCATTTATTTTAATAAATCTCATCTCACCAGTGTTATGATCCATGAAAGGCAGTTGCAACACCGAGTGGGAGTGTATGCTTGCTCTCGTAGCTCCGGGCGGAGACAAACTTGTTACCGGTAAAGTGTGGGAACGAGGGGATCAACTCTTGACTTTCAAATCCCCTTATCCGAGGTCACAGGGCTCGTTAAAAAGCTTTGCGGTGTCATGATGCCTGGCCTGATCAAAATTCACTCAACGAGCCTGGATGTTGACGGATTCAGGTCTTAAATAATACATGCAGACATAAGGGATCTCTAGCCCTGCTTCAAATGTTTGGATAATTAGTGTACCACAGGTCCGAGCCTCTAAAGAGGAAGCAGGAGTGCAGAGAAGGGTTTTATTTTGATGTGGACAATTCCATCAAACTGGACAGAATTGTGACTCTCCTTTCATTGTTGCATTCTTTCTTCCCACTTTTCTCACTAAAAACTAAATATCCACAAAATATGTAATATCAGAGTGTTTGCTTATATGTAGTTTTCTACTGATGCAGTTTTTGACAGGAGGTACAGCCATGTCAGCAGCTGTGAAACCTCCAATTAGCCATGATGATACATCATCATCACCACCACCACTTGTTGTCGGCTAACCTCAGGTCTTTACAAAATGTTCCTTTCAGTGAAGCAAAATTGAATGGTATTATCTACCAGGTACAGTAATTAAGTGACAAAGAGAGAAACACAACCTCACTCTCTGAAGACTTATAGTAATAATGCATTTAATGTTGTTTCTGATTGGAATTGTCTGAGAATTTAGTCCTCAAGTTAAACTATAGACATATCAAATGACTAATCTGTAAGATATGTAGTGACTGAAATGATAAAGTGATGATCAGACATTAAGGAAACATGCTATGTTGAAGTGCTGGCTTCTCTGACAACAATGAAGCAGCCAGTATGTCCTCCTTCTAACTTTAGATTCTGGTCCTAAATGGTCCTCTGGATTTGTTTGGACCAGAGCAGGTAGGCGGTTTTAAGGCGACCCCCCCCACGGCTGTTTTGGACGCCCCTTGGTTTGCAGATATGAGAGCAGTTATCAGGTCAACAGGTGTTGCAGTGATGGAAGCGGGCGAGAGAAGTGGTTCAGATAGAAGTGATTGTACCCGACCTAAAAAGCCTCTGCATGTTTCTAATAAGCTCCACGAGCAGAAACGTGCTCAAACTAGGATCAATATAGGAGATGCTTTTGAAAAATGGAGAGAGGTTAGAACACAGAAAGGTTTACAGACCCATGCAGAGCTGGATAAACACTGAAGCTTCAGTGCCCACCACATGGCAACCTGCGTGAGCATCTACTCTAGGGAGGAGGGGGCGGGGGGAGACAGCTCTCTACAATGTTTTGAATTTGGACTGCAGTACCCGTTTTAAACACTAGGGGTCAGAGTTACATATTGCTCCTTTAATAAAAAAACAAAATCAAAGTAGTAGTTTTTTTCTGTGATAAATATGAGATAATATTTAAGGTATAAACATGATTTGTTATCTGTATAAGCTTTGTTTTGTTTCAGGTATAGTTGCAATATACATAACTTTCATGTAACAAAGTTTGATGACAGTTTCCCAGAGTCTACTTTCTTCTCACAGTATAGTCAGGGTAAGAATCTGAAATGCATAGTGTCCTGATGTTGTACTTTCAGTTCCAGGTCATCCTAATGTAAGAATTCTAACAAATTATAGGGACATAAAGCCATAAAGGAATTTCTCTTTTGCTTCATGAATTGAGCAGCATGAATAAAAAGCATGGACCCACTTAGCACATGAAGCCACAGATGAAAGGAATCCGGCAAAATGGTGATTGCGGCATCATCCAGACTCAATAAATAGAAAGCAGACGGAGTAAAAGTGCTGAGATTGAGCAAGCCACTCATGCACAATAAACTTCCTGTCTTAAAGGAGAGGTCGGAGCTTTGTGATGAATGGGATTCTCCTCTGCATCTGGCTCTGAACATATCAAATGGATTCAGTGTTCTGCATAAAAACCTGTTTTTATTGAGGCAGAAAGCCCTTTCAGCAAGTAGACTCACAGAGCTCCTCTTTGTTATTCACAAAGGATGCTGTGGATGAGCCAAACAAAAGGTGAAGGGACTGACTCTTGATGTTTCTAACCAACTAGCTCCAAACTATGCCAATCTTTTAAACTGTAGTAATTGCAATGGATTTTCACTTTTAAAAAAAATGGTTTAATGATCTCCTTGCTACCACTTCAGACTCTGCAGTCTCCTTCTCTGGCATTTAAAGGTCACATATCCTCCTCCTCTTCAACAAGTTTAAATAAGTCTCAGAGCTCCTCAAAACATGTGTGTGAAGTTTCTTGTTCTGAATCCATTCTGATCCTGTATTTGAACCCCTCTATTTCAGCCCTGCTCAGAACAGGCTGTTTCTGTGTCTGTACCTTTAAATATGTAAATGAGCTGTGTCTGACCACGCCCCCTCTCTGGAAGGGCTTGGGTGTCTCGGGCTTTCTCGCTCCATGTCCTGTTGTTTACGGTGAGAAGGCAGACTCAGAGGGCAAAACAAACACCTAGCTGTGGGAGTGTCACCCACCTGGGGGAAGGGCTACTGCCCTTTGTGATGTCATAAAGGGAAAATGTCCAAACGTCCTGTTTGAGCACACATTTTCTGAAAAGTGAAGCAGGCAGAAGATGGAGAGGATGGACTTTTCTCATAATTGGGGGGTTTGTAGATAGACTAGGGACACATATTAGAGTTAGAAAAACCAAATTCTGAAATATTGTTTCTTTAAAGTCTGATGGCAAATAAGTTCATGTACAACTTTCCACTATCACAACTAACTTTTAATGTGTTTGTTCCACACAGTGATCACACAGTCGTAAACGCTCTGAAGAGCCGAGTACAGGACTCGGGAGACAATTTCCTGTCTGTTCATTTTCACATTATTCACATTTGATCATGGTCATTTGATCTGTTCTTAATTAAAAAAACGTTGATTAAAGCATTATGAGATAAACAAATTGAGCTTCCAAATCACTCACCTGCCGGAAGCGCTTGAGGTGGAGGATGAGGATGTCGGGCAGCGTCCACAGGCTCATCTTCACCATGCCCTGCTGCAGCTGCTTACAGTGCGGACACTTCCAGGCATCATCTGGGGCGAGCTGGGGTCACACAGGGGTGGTAAGATAGTCAGGATAACAGAATATTAAACTCTGATAGTGTACAGGTAAAAACAAACTGTGGTGATGTGTATATGTTTTCTGGTCCTGAATGCTCTGGATTTGTTTGGAACCAGAGAAGGTAGGCAGTTTTAAGGCAACCCCACACGACCGTTTTGGACGCCCCTCGGATTGCCAGATATGAGACCAGTTATCAGGTCAAACCAACAGGTGTTGCAGCGATGGAAGCGGGCAAGAGAACTGGTTCAGACAGAAGTGATTGTACCCGATTTAAAAAGCCTCTGCATGTTTCTAATAAGCTCCACGAGCAGAAACGTGCTCAAACTAGGATCAATATTGGAGATGCCTCCATGATCATATCCCTGTGAGGTCAGACTCCTACAATTCTACAATTCACTTAGCAGACGCTTTTATCCAAAGCGACGTACATCAGAGAGTAAGTACAACTCAAGCAAGGATCTAGAAAAAAGAGAACAATGTCAGTAAGAGCAAACGATCAGCTTTGAATCCGATTGGACACACAGGTGCTGACAGGAAGCGACCAGAGGCAAAGCACAACATTGACGGCAGTTCTTGAGAGCTCTAATCAGTATAGAACGTCGTTATCAAACAAAAACCATCGTCATTACCATCATCATCATCAATAATATGGAGACCATCACCATTAACTTAGTAGATATTCATGAAAGAGCTGGGTCTTTAGCTTTCACTTAAAGGTGCAGAGGGACTCTGCAGATCGAATGGAGTTTGGAAGTTCATTCCACCACCGGGGGGCGACAGAGGAGAAGAGTCTAGTCAGAGACTTAGGACCTTGTTGTGAAGGTTGGATCAGACGCCTTTCATTGGCAGAGCTTAGTGGGCGGGAGGGAGTGTTTTTGTTACAATAAACTTTCCTGAGAATGTGATGGCTTTTGAACAAAACTTTGCCGCCCTGTTTTACACCTGAGGGCTCTGATATTTTCTTCCCAGTGTGAAAACAGTCTTTTAACATGGGTTCTGAGTGAAGTTGCATTTCTGTGAAACCTTTTTCTGCTTGCTTTGAGGACTTAAAGGCTTCTTACTGAAGGTAGAGGAATCTAGAGGATTAGGTGCAAGGTTCAGCTGAGTGTGACGGACATATTAAAGTCCCCTGTCTGGCTGCTCATTCAGGGGAAAGTGTGAGTAAAGTGTGGGTCCGATACAGGTGACATTCTTTTTTTTCACCCACTGGTTCACTGGTTTGACTCCATAAGCGTGCAAAGGTTCAGGAATCTCCTGCATGAACTAATTGTCACTTAACCTTAGTCTACACCTCGTTTTATTGCCTCATGGTAAAAATCCTAAAATCTACTGTTGCTATGGTTACAGGCAGGGTTTTAAAATAATTAATTGTCCCCTTCATGAGCCTCCTGGCTTCTTTCCAAAAAATATTTGTAGATTGTGTTTAATGAAAAGAGATCAGGAAATGAAATTGTATTGTCTAACACCGGTGTGTCATTTACTAAAACATAATTACAGCAGAAGAGGCTTATGCTTAACGCCAGTGGTTCTCAACCTTTTTTTTCTCTTTGGAGCCCCCCCAACGTGTATCTAAGAAAAGCTGAGCCCACCCCCAGGGACCCACATGAAAAAAGTGATATTCTTTTAAAAAATGAACGTAAATTTAATCATTTTCATCGATAAAATCCAACTGCCTTCACACTTGTTTTTACCAAAATACCTTTGTATGAATTTCCCAGTAATGTTTAAATTTTTTTAAATTTATGGATTTGAACCTGGGCCCTTCGCTTGGAGATCTATAGCCTCCATTAATGGGGCGTTTTTAAAGATTTATTTGTGTGCTTTCCATGCCTTAATGGAGAGACAGGACAGTGGATAGAGTCAGAAATCAGGAAGAGAGAGAGCGAGGAATGACTACTGGTTCAGACTCGAACCCCCGGGCCGCCCTCCCAAAGGACAACAGCCTCTGGAGCGCGAGCGCAAACCAACCACTAGGCCACTGGCAACTGCAATCTATTTACGTCCACATTTATACAGTCTGAGGTTTAATTGTTGCATTAGCAGGTGTTTGTAGCCCCTTCCACTTCATATACAAAGAGGTTCAAGGGAGAAAAAATGCATTTTGATAAAAAAAATCCATAAGGCTCCTTTTGTCTCGTTACAGCCGCACATCAGTGTTCTGAAACTGTTCAGTGGGATTGTGTTGCTCCTCCACAGTTCATATACGTACTGACAGGCAAACAAATCCATGTGTTTACACTGAGTATGGTACAGATTAGTCATCATCACACTTCTTTTCAGAAGACATTGTACACTGATTTTTTCAGCAGTCGGTCATCTTTGAGGCTTTTGTTCTGATGTTCACTTAAAGATAATTACAGCAGGTTTTTTGTTCAGGGAGCTTGACGCTGAAGCTTGGAACGAAATGGGACTTTAATTATAACGTCACAGCTTTCCGACTGAATAGAAACCCTGTTCCACAAAGAACTGATCTGTACGTTGACACTGAAATGCTTGCAATTACACCAGCAGGGAGGTTTCAGATTCAACATTTAAATACTAACTTATTTTATGTTCCTGCCTTTCAACTTCAACCTACTATTATAAAACTGTTTAATAGTTTCAGCTAAGAGTTTGATGCTCAAGCTCAAACTTTTCCTTTTAATTTATATCAAACTAAAACCAAACTATCAACTTTTGACAAAGACCAAGAGCTCTTTTCCAGAAATACCCAAGCTTCCTATTCAGTGAAATGGATTCTGTCATATTTACTGTGTCTCAAAGATTGAATAAAATCTGACTCTACAGTGGAGTTTCTTCAGCTTCTATCAGCTCTTCATTTTTTGTGCTGTCTGAGGTTATTACTCAAGGCATATGCATGTGTCTGCGTCAGACCTGTGCAATGGAATTATGTGATAAACACAGTTTTACAGACGCTGAAGCAGAGTTTTTAAAGGTTTTTACACACAAATTAAACAAAAAAGGAATAACTACTTATTTTTAAACTGGGCAGGAAATATGTTTTTTTTAAATTGTTCTAAATACTTGACGGAAATTCTGATTTTACACTCTGTTACTGAGAGACACATCGACCCAAAATACACACATACACAAACACACACAGGACCTGTGGACATGGATTAATAGAGAGACGTCAGAGTGGGGTTGCTACACATGGAGCGCGTAGTAGCAGCTAACTTCCATATTATGGTCCGCACCGGGACATGACTAATTTGAAGGTTGTTTACAAGCTGCAGACTCTACCTTTAACACAGAGCCAATGGAGTGCCAAAAAGTAGAACATTTATCTGGTGAGCACAAGTTCAATACAAAATAATGATCAAGATACTTTTCTTACAAAACAAAGATTTCTGTAGAATTCAAAATAATGTCCCCACAAGAGCTGTATGTATTCAAATCCGGCCTCCAGTGGTGTCATAGTTTGGGACACAATACACTTTTGTTGTGGTGAAGCCTTAACAAAGCCTCAGGCAGAGAAGACGTGAAGATTGACTGTTCAAAGAAATCATTTTCAGCTGAAAGTTTCATTCCAGAGATATCTATTGTGAAGGTCTGCGCACGTACGTGTGAAGAATTGATTGTGTGTGATAAGAAGCTGGAGAGCCAAGACAACACCACAGATTAGGGAGATCGTTATTGACTGAAAGGTTTGTCGTGGATGAATTGCGTGCCGTGTTATTATCACAGGGACATGGTGGGAAAAACTCCCAATCCATGTGGTAAACACTTTGTTCTTTCTCCTTCAGTGACTTTATTTTAGACTTCACCTCTTATTGAACGAGCTGGAGTGGCTGTTGCACTTGAATTGGATGACAAAGTAGAAACATGCCACTGGAAACTTAAAAAAAACACTTTTCTCATTTTTAGTCAACTTTCAGAGGTGAATGAAAAGTCTGGGCGAGGGTGTGACAGCACAAAGAATGAATTAGGATACGCTAATCGCACCAAAAACTGCTTATAGTTTGCTCCTGCAGTTTGCTCTTGTGTTGCTACTGGATACTCCATTCATTCATTGTGTGCACATATGCAGTAGATAGTGAGCGAGGAAGGGAGGGGACACTCTTTCCAGTTTGTTTCAAGGCCAGATTTTGAAAAATGTGATACAAGTTTCACCGTTGAAAAGAGAGCTCCCTCCCTTGATCTAGAAGACAATGTGTCCACATCTGATTCGTCAAGCCACTCCCAGCCACACACCGCTTTAAACCAAGATTGTATAGTAATAGTAGTGGTCTTAGTTTTTTTTTGTATTGATCACTGGAAAGGTGGGTGTGACATCACATATGCGTACACACTATGGCGCAGTTTCCACCAACTCTCAGCTATAAGCAACGTCGTTTGTGAATCAGATCTTTTTTGCAAAGAAAGTGACTTGCATTGAAATGAGGCAGTTTTCCCCTAATGAATACATTATGGCTAATTTAAATACTTGCATACAGCAGCTACGCACGGCGACGCTGTTTGTTTTGCAGTGCAGTTAGGAGTGCGTTTAACCCTTTGCACGTCGTTTGTGTCTTTTTGACTCATTTGCACAGGTTTAGTGTGTGCAAACACAACACAATACTTCATCGAGTAGGCCCTCTGTCTTGTTAGAGTCTTCTAAATTATTTAAGCAGCCTTCACCCAGGTACCTTGAATGATCTGATAAGAACAGAAATCGAGTCAACTGATGTACAGTGAGCCAGTGAGGGTGCAGCAGACCCCCTGTGGTCAGTGGGTACTTGGAGGATTAAGATATAAGCCCTCAAGCCTTAAGCCTTAGCCTTAAAATTCACTAATGAGGCAAACTCACACAGACGTGATGAAACATCTAAACCTCCTGGTGGAGGATAACAGTACCCACGTCAGCATCAAGTCCTCCTCACTTCTAATTCATTCGAACGTGGGGGGGGGGAGTTCACATTCAAACTGTAATAAACTTTTCAAATATAAAATACACTCTATCAGTGCATCAGGCCGTCTGAAGTAAATTGCAGTTTGATCCAGCAGACGACACTCTCAGCATAACTAGAACATTGCATGCACTCTTGACTTAGTAAATAAAGACAGTAATGTTGTGGCAAAAAGCCACAGAGATGCAAATCAGGAGATGCAGACTCATGAGGGAGGTGAGATACCAGAAACTCTCCAAGCTGGCTCGCAGACATTTGTGTGTACCAGGAACGTCTGACAGGGTGTTCTCTTCTCTAGAGGGTAATATTGTAAAAGCTCCAATTGATCCCGATCAAGTTGAGAGACTTGAGGTGATGGGGAATGCAGTTTTAAGCACATTATTGCTACATAAAATGAAGGACTGAAAATGTTTTGTGTCTGGGAACTGAACATTACCTTGTCATGTTCTCATTAGTGGAACTCGTTTTTTTGGAAAAGTGACAGCCCTACTCTGCACCCGTACAATTTTATCATTCCTAAACATATTGTTAAAAAATAGCATAAAGCCAATCAAAAAAACTCCCAAAGTCTTTTCATCTCACCGACATGATAAGATCTGTCCATATAATAAAATGTCCATATTTTAGTTTACACTTTCATGGCCAGAAGAGTTTATATTTAGAAGTTACAGATCGGACTTCTGTGTAATTCATTTTTGCAGTAAATCCGACCTTAGAACAATTAAGTCTTTAAACTGGAACTCTTTTGGATTTTTGTGTGTAGTACATTTGTAGTCGGAGTAGCTTTGATCTATCACAAAAGGATTGCACTGCTTTAAGCGTCTGCTAAACTTGTGCAAATGAGTGAAAAAGACCTCCGTCTTAGCATGCAAAGGATTAAATGCACCACACACTGCAGAACAAACCGCGTCTCAGGGAGCTGTTTCTGTTTGCACACACTTAAATGTTATGTTATGCAAGTTGTCCATGCTTTGTCCAGTCAGGGAGGAAGCTTTGTTTTAAACGTCTTAGATCACATCCTATTTTTCAAGTCTGGCCTCTCAATAAAAAGAGTAAAACAAGTGTCTCCACATTCAGAGGCACAATAAGAGCAAACTGCACGAAGCAGGACAATTTCTTTGGGCTGAACATGATAAGCGCTATATGCTTTGTGAATTTGACCTTGAGATGGAGCAGATAGTGGGAACAAAAGGGTGTGTCATTTTTGGAGGAGTTAGCAGCTGCAATCCATTCTCAGTGAATCCGCTTGTCATTATCAAAAAATCAGGCCGATCACAATCCACCCTGATGACACCCACGGGTAATCTGTCTCCAATTGATTGATCTCTGTAAACATCTGCATGCACGCTTAGCCAGATCACTCCAGATGAGAAAGAAAACAGTGAATTCACAATAACTGAACCGCAGCTGCTTCATTAGAGCTGAGCCGCTTTGGTTTGTTTACGCCTCAGCTTACAGGCTACCACAGGATCTGAAGCATCAGACACGCAGCAGGTGAGCCTGTCAGTGTTTCACAAAGGCTACTAATTAGACCTCTCTTCAACCCCCACTGGCTCCATTCAGTCGCTAGTAGTTGATACGGATCAAAAGTCAGGCTCTGAATAATCCCAACACTTGTTAAGTGTGAATAATCAACCTGCAGTCACAACGAAACATGCAAGTTGTGTGCTCAGTGAGGTGCTGCACATCTCCCCCTAAATGGCTCACTGTCAAGTTACACACGGTCATGTTTTGAATAAATCCTTTTCTCATAAGCTCCCGTTTCCACCAAGCAGTCCGGTTTGGTTTCGGTACAGTTTGGTACAGTAAACCATGATCTCACTTGTGTTTCCACAGCCAACCGTACGGTGGCCGGTAGGGGTCAAACGCTCAGCAACTGATGAAGCGACATACATTAAGAAAAACGCGCAGCACATATAGAAACGCTGCACATTCAAAAGCAAATGCAAACTACCAAGATAAATGCAAGACACAAACGCGCTGCAAAAGAAACAAACGCGCTGCAAATAGGCAAAACAACTGCATAAGCATCAAACACGCTGCAAGTACAGTGAACAAAAACTTAAATCAAAACACACACAACCAGAAAACAACAGCAAACACAGAAGTTCAGCCTTAAACGGAAGTGCTCCAGGCCTGTAGGGGCGCTGTGGATCTGTTTATTTACGGGAGAGAGTAAAAGAGACAGCTAGGATCAGAAAGTTATGTTTAGATAGGGAAGTTGTATCGTGAAAGACACAGGATAACTTCAATGTTACTGAAACGCGGAGATAAAGCAAGTCCCACCGGGATTTTGACATCGGGGACGAGAGCCAAGTGTGGGTCCGTGGCTGCAGCCCCGGGATGTCTGGAGCTAGTGCTAGCTCTGGGGCTACGAGAGCTAGCGCTCCAGGCATCTCGCTTTTAGACTTTTGTAGACTGATTGTAGCAGTCTTGTATTATCTGTCCCCTGTTTTTCTTTTTGATTTAATGTCTGTTTTCTAATTATTTCTGTAATGACTCGATGTCATTGTAAATGAGGGTTGGCCCTCAATGATCTTTCGAGTATAAATAAAGGTTGAATGAATATCAGGAGACCGTCTGCCACCCGCTGTCACTTAAACTCAATTCAAATGTATCAGGGGTTTAGCGCTGCTGTGTCTCTCTGTGTGTAACAAGCAAACTTTCTCTTAATAGGAGGAACATACTTTGCCAGTCTTTCGACTTTAGACCAGATATTAGTTGGTCTCTGGCGCAGTGGCTTTCTGCATCCTGAAGATGAAGATGAAGCACTGCACTATCGGTTTACCGAACCTAAATAAGACCAACAAGCCCAAAGGGTTCATTTGCTATTTACAAAAATGTGGGCGGATGGTGCAGAAATGGTGTCTGTGTCGTGTGGAAAATGGGACTGACACTTGCACTGCAGGCCAAAACACTTGTGTGATAGGAGCCAAGGATCAGAGAATTCAGGAAGACGTTTGTTTGTCTGACCCGCACACACTGGGCGTCAGAGTGTGTGTTCTTGCAGTATTGGCTGTGGTTAATATGGCTATGAGGTCACATTAATGCAGACTTAAAGGCTTTATATGTGATTTTTCACACTTAAATATAATATAAATCAAGTATATCCTCTGAAAATAACTCTGTGAGTCATGACTGTCTACAATGGGTGTAACACCCGAGTCCCACTGTCTGTGATGCTTTCAGAGTTTTCATAGTCCTATCTTCAATTTGTTTACATCGCCGGGACGGCCGGCTGACTCCTCCCCTCCCATACTGTACTCACTGCTTAACTGTGTTTCTAGATCACGCTCATTTCAGGTAAATTTACATGCAGTGTGAAGATACCAGCATAATAAAGATCGCTAGCATTAGCATGCTAACACAACAATGCAGTGCGAGTTGTTTTGGTTTCATGCTGGTGCTCAAGGGCCAAAAAATGGATCAAAAAATCGCATATAAAGCCTTTAATGAGTGAGAAAAACAATGACGATTCTATGACGTCCTGTCATAGAATAAATTGTTATTCCAAGTCTAAAAGAAAAAATAGTTGAATGATGTGTCTAAACTCAAAGAATGTAGATCAATGAGCAAAAAAAGTTCGACTATAGGCAAAATGTGACGAGTCAGGTTCGACTCTGCAAATCGGGGGCAATGAAAAGCATCAACAAGTTGAAACTGATGATTTACAACACTTTGGTTTCCGGCTGCCTCGATGTGAGTGAACAAAGCTCTTCAACTTTTGGGATGAATTCAAAGAAGTGTTGAAACATCAGAGGAATCTTTGAGCTCTTCTCAGGACTGCTGACATTCATCAGGATATTCATCCATCAGCCTGTGAGAGGACTGAGTTACAGCAGCATGCAGCAGGGGGGGAGATCTAACAATGAGGGACCCTGTTTCCGACAGCCGGCTCACATGGAGGACGTTCAAACAGGAAGAAAGTGTTGAGGAGCGGGGAAGGGCTGAAAACTTGAGACAGCAGAGACTCAGCTTTATCCATATCTGATTCACTTGTTGGGTAAAAAGAAACGTGTTGGTAACCTCAGCTGCCCCAACTGTTGTGAAAAACTTTGGCAAAAGAAGCGGAGGGAGTGGATCTAGTGAGGCTGTTTATCAAATGCTGGAGCCGCTCACCCTGAGAAAGAACTGACCCTAAAAAGTCTCAACAAGTCTTGTTTCTCACACATGCAGAACTCTACACAGAAAATCCAGAGTCTTAGGAAGGGGAAGACTGCTCGACACACAAGCTGGTTGGATGTTGTGTTGCCGAGGGGGAGAGCGAGAGCGAGCGGGGTGAGTGTCTCACCTGTTCTTCTTTGGTATACAGCTGGAAGCATTCATCCAGGGTACAGTTGTGCTGCTGCAGGTGCTGCTGCTGCTGGTTCCTCACACTCTCTGCATCCTTCACCACCTCCTCCTGGATGCTGCCGAACAGACTACACACACACACACACACACACACACACACACACACACACACACACACACACACACACACACACACACCACACACACACAACACAGGGTACTGAATCATCTTTACAATGTTTGGATCAGTGTGTATGTTCATGTGTGTGTCCATGTTTGTGTGTGTGTGTGTTCATGTGTGTGTCCATGTTTGTGTGTGTGTTCATGTGTGTGTGTGTGTGTGTTCATGTGTGTGTGTGTGTCCATGTTTGTGTGTGTGTCTTTGTTCGTGTGTGTGTGTGTGTGTGTGTGTGTGTGTGTGTGTTCATGTGTGTGTGTGTGTGTGTGTGTGTGTGTTCATGTTTGTGTGTGTGTGTGTGTGTTCATGTGTGTTTGTGGTTTTATGTGTGTGTGTGTGTGTGTATTTATATGTGTGTGTGTGTGTGTGTGTGTGTGTGTCCATGTTTGTGTGTGTGTTTGTTCATGTGTGTGTGTTCATGTGTGTGTCCATGTTTTTTGTGTGTGTGTTTGTTCGTGTGTGTGTGTGTGTGTGTGTGTGTGTGTTCATGTTTGTGTGTGTGTGTTTGATCGAGTGTGTGTGTGTGTGTGTGTGTGTGTTCATGTTTGTGTGTGTGTGTGTGTGTGTGTGTGTGTGTGTGTGTGTGTGTGTGTTCATGTGTGTTTGTGGTTTTATATGTGTGTGTGTGTGTGTGTATTTATATGTGTGTGTGTGTGTGTCCATGTTTGTGTGTGTGTGTTTGTTCATGTGTGTGTGTCATGTGTGTGTCCATGTTTGTGTGTGTGTTTGTTCGTGTGTGTGTGTGTGTGTTTGTGTGTGTGTGTGTTCATGTGTGTGTGTTCATGTGTGTGTCCATGTTTTTGTGTGTGTGTTTGTTCGTGTGTGTGTGTGTGTGTGTGTGTGTGTGTTCATGTTTGTGTGTGTGTGTTTGATCGAGTGTGTGTGTGTGTGTGTGTGTGTGTTCATGTTTGTGTGTGTGTGTGTGTGTGTGTGTGTGTGTGTGTGTGTGTGTGTTCATGTGTGTTTGTGGTTTTATATGTGTGTGTGTGTGTGTGTATTTATATGTGTGTGTGTGTGTGTCCATGTTTGTGTGTGTGTGTTTGTTCATGTGTGTGTGTTCATGTGTGTGTCCATGTTTGTGTGTGTGTTTGTTCGTGTGTGTGTGTGTGTGTGTGTGTGTGTGTGTGTTTTTGTGTGTGTGTGTGTGTGTGTGTGTGTGTGTGTGTGTGTGTGTGTGTGTGTGTGTGTGTGTTTGTTTGTGTGTACTCAAATAGAACAAGGGTTGAAACAATAGCAGTATTTTTTTTACTTCATTATTTCACACATGGGCGGTTATTTAGTAAAATAGAGGTTTTCCTCTTCTGTTTAAATCCATCCAGTCCGCACGCACGCACGAGAAACCGGCGCACAGTGTGTCATAAACACCTTAAACAGAGTTTCTGAAAAATCTTCAACCCGGAAGAAGTTTTCCAAAAGCTGCATCACTCCTATTTTGGGGTCGCAAGCTGAAAAGTTTGGGAACCCCTTAGTTTAAAATACATGCTATCAAAGAGTAAGAAACATTACGGCTGTCTTAAAGCTCACCATTCTTTAGTCTTGGGCTCCCATTCGAGGACGAGCTTCACATGCGGGGGTCCTCCAGGGCCGCAGAACTTCAGCGCTCTTAAATTCAGAAAAGGCAAAGAAAAAAGTCGGATTACAGTCTAAATTTGAAAGAGCTAATTGTTTCACCTGAGGTCTCTGTGTGTGTGGAGAAGCCTTCTGTCCAAAAGTCTTACAACCATGAGGTTTGTGTTTCTTTCATATAACGAATAAAGAAACAAACATTTGAGCCTCGTTAATTGAATCTTTATACACACAGCAGCAGCAGCAGTTTAGAGTGACCCCGGGCCCAGGTGAGACCTGGCTTCACCCCATGACTTAAAATTCAATCACATAACAGAGACTAAGTTCACCGCTTTGATCTCACAAGCGTAAATAAAAAATTCATCAGTATTTATCTTCCCAACAGGACTGATTGAATCCAGAGTAGATTTAACAATCACTGACAGCTGAGGGCAGAATATTTTTTTCATTTTTCATTTTTCATTTTTTCATCCTGGATGTTTGGGAGCTGCTTCAAAATGTAAATCCTCTTTGATTTCCAGAAGCTTCTGAATCCTGAGTGAAAGCAGCCAGAGGTTCTCCAGCGTGGCAGAAATACTGACTGTGTTTTCACTTCATCTTAAAAAAACTCATGCTGAATGTAACCACTGAATCTCAGGCTGTAACATCATGTCCATATGATAAATGGTGGTCAAAATCTCCAACATATAAATGTAAAAAATAAAACAAAAACATGCACATCCCTCAGTAGGTGCTGGATGCAAAAAAACAGGAATATTTAAGGAAAGCAAAGTAAGATCTGCACTCCAAGAAGCTCCCATTTGAAGGATGGATTAAGTGACGCTTCTTGGAGTGCAGCATGTGAGTGTGAGTGTGGCTGGTTGTCTGTCTCTACATGTCAGTCCTGTGATTGACAGGTGATCAGTCCAGGGTGTAACCCCGCCTCTCGCCCAATTACAGCTGGGATCGACCCCAGCCCATGGACTCAATAAAAGATCATTAGAATAAATCCATCAGTGTATTGTCCACATTAAAAGTGTTCATTCTACTAATCTTATTATTATACTAATCTTATTATTATACTTATCTTATTATTATACTTATCTTATTATTATACTAATCTTATTATTATACTAATCGTATTATTATACTAATCTTATTATTATGCTTATCTTATTATTATACTAATCTTATTATTATACTAATCTTATTATTATACTAATCTTATTATTATACTTATCTTATTATTATACTAATCTTATTATTATGCTTATCTTATTATTATACTAATCTTATTATTATACTTATCTTATTATTTTACTTATCTTATTATTATACTTATCTTATTATTATACTAATCTTATTATTATACTTATCTTATTATTATTATTATTATTTTATTCATTTATTTATTTTTATTGAAATGTTAGTATTATTTTTACTCTATTATTATTTATGTTATTATTTCTTGTCTGTATTATTGATTTTGCACCAATGTACCTCTTATTATTTAATTTACTTTATTAGTACTGTTTTTAATTGTTGTGTCTTATTGGTGGAATTGTCATTGTGGGGGTGGAGTGGCAGGGGGAGGGCTTGGATGGGTGGCTTTATAAGAAACTTGTGGGATGCTTTTGTATTGTTATGTGTTCCCGAAACATTATAAAATGGCAATAAAATATGTTCATAAAAAATAAAAAGTGTTCATTCTGCGCAGAAAGTGCAGTCTCTGCGGGCCCCTTTTTTTCCAGATAGCCTTTGTGTTCTTACCATGATTTAAGTTCTTGTTAGTCACTGTGTCCAGGTACATTCTCCACATGTGTGTCTTTGATCATAGGCGGGATGGTTGAGTGGGAGGTTTTTTTTTTCCGAAAATCGATGACCATTAATTTAGTTTTTTTTAAATTAGCTTCAAAAAGAGGTGGTTGCACACACACTGAGCTTTAAGACTTGCAGTGTGAACGCAGCCTCGGGACGTTATTTTGACAGCTGTATAAAGCAGGGGTTCTCAAACTTTTTTAGACCATGGACCCCTTTCAGGTGAGAAATTTGTCCAAGGACCCCCTCATTATCGTATCGTTGATGAGCTATTAATACTGTGTAATAATGTACTATGTATTACTTTGCAACGATATAATTAGGTATAGAGGACCGTCAGCAATGTGTGTGGCAGAGTTAGTTTTGACGTGCCAGACTACATTTAGCTAGTCACACAGTGCAAAATCTGGACGCTACATGAGGAGCAGAGCGTAAAAGCAGAGTGCCGGAACACAGAGGGCATCCCAGTTTGTTGTGAAGGGGCTTCGTAGCTGCAGACTGGTCAAGGTGCCCATGTTGACCCCTATCCACGGTAGAAAGCGCCTAGCATATTCCCGCCATATTCCCCAGATGGATGTGCTCAAGATCCATGGAGGCCTCACCTCTCAACTTGCAGGACTAAAAGGATCTGCTGCGAAACACTGTGATGCCTGATACCACCTGTACACCTCCACTGGTGGGGTCCAAGGACCCTACATGATGTTCCAAAGGTTTTCATAACCTTATGGCTGATTGGTGCATTTTTAAAGGCATCAATGGAACAACAGAAGAGATAGTAACAAAGCTCCTCAGTTGTAAAGCGATACCTCCATTTTTATTTATCTCACGGCTAAGCATGGAGCTTTAAACCTTGAAACTGTTATCTTTATACTCTTATACTCCCAGTAATCCTCTTACAGCTTTACCTGTTGGTTCTGAAAGGAGCTCGAGCTTCTTTGTCCAAACCACTTGAAAACCTGTCTGACGTGGTTCTCAACACGACCTAATCTCACTTCAGTTGTAACATTAATTAGAGGCTGCATTATATTGTCTCAAGCAGTGCTTCATTGACATGGCATGGCCATTGAAAAAGCTTGTATAAGCTGTTGTTTTTATGTAACTATGAATTAGCCTTCACCTGTTTTTCCTTTGAAAATGTCACGGCATGTACAGAAATGATTACATGTGTGTCATGAGCCACAAAAAGAAAGATTGTACAGCAGTGACGTGCGGTGAGGTTCGTGGCTGGTGAGGCACTGACTTTTTCAGAGTCAGATTTACAAATATATGAACCCATTTATAGAATGGCTTAAACTCACCATTCATATCAGCATTATTTACACACACATAGAGGGAAGGTGCATATTTGGCCAAGGAAGACCGTTAAATTCATAGCGCCTCAGAATTTCTTTTCCATTGCAATTCCACAATTCATACTCATTCAATAAAAGTAGGCATATATACTGCGGTGTATTCATGGTCTTACCTTTACTTGTAAACAAAGTCCATTCGCCTATCCTTCTGGACTAAAATATCTGTGACTTTGTTGTAAAAGTCCTCATTATCTTCTTTTAGTTTTAAAAGTCTTCCATTATTTATCACTTCACGTTTGATTGAAAGTCCTGTTTTGAGAAGTCTTTAAGCTTAGATTTAAAATCTTCCTTTTCCATTTTTGCAAACAGAGCGAATTTTTCAAATAAAAATTCTGCATAGAAGATGATCAACATCAAACCAAGCATAAACTCGCAACCTGACGCACGCCCCCTTCAGGTGAGGCAGAGGTACTGGCTGCCAGTGCGGTTTTATGTCAAATTAGACTAAACATGTTATAAACACATGTGAAATACATTACTTATTCTATGGAAAGTGAGGATGTATAATAAAAGTGTCTAAAAACATTACATTGGTGACAAACAGTAAGAAAGAAAAAGGCATACGCTCGACCCAGTTTGTGAGGGATTGCGCAAAGATGAGGCTCAGCTCGTCGCTGCCTCACCTCTATGGGGGAACCGGCCGGAAATATGCGAATTCAGCAATTTTGATCATGAAAATGAGTGTAATTTTTGGAATCGTACAGAAATAACATTTATAACACAGATCAGTAGAATAATATATATCTATTTATTTTATTTAATCATTATTTGTTTTGTACTTTTGATGATATTTGCCTCCCCTGACCACATGTCTCTGTTGTACCGTACAGTCAAAGTGTAGAGCTCAGCACAGTATGTTGTGTGTGTGAGAGTATTTGTTTTTGTGTGTCCTACCTGTCGACCGCTGGATGGTACAGTGGCCGGCTGTCCTGGGGAGAGAGGTAGCTGTACGCTGCTGATCCCCCCACCACTCTGATCCTGAACAGCACCCCGGCGTTCTGCAGAGAGAGCAACACATTTTAGCACTTCTGTGAGCTAACTGTATCAGTAACGTTCACGTTATACCCAAACACTGAAACCAGTTTGTCACTTGAGTTGTGTCATGTGTTTTAGTGTTGAAGTCAAGACCACACCAACTGAGGCCAAGACATACCTGAGTCCAGAGTGCTCCAAGACCGAGGCAAGACTGAGACATTTCGAGAAAGAGACCAAGACCAAGGCAGGGCGAGACTGAGACAAGACTGAGACATATAGAGAACAAGACCAAGACCAAGACCAAGACATATAGAGAATGAGACCAAGACCAAGACCAAGACATATAGAGAATGAGACCAAGACCAAGACATATAGAGAACGAGACTAAGGCCAAGACCAAGACCAAGACCAAGGCCAAGGCCAAGGCCAAGGCCAAGGCCAAGGCCAAGACCAAGGCCAAGGCCAAGGCCAAGGCCAAGACATATAGAGAACGAGACTAAGGCCAAGGCCAAGACCAAGACCAAGACCAAGACCAAGGCCAAGGCCAAGGCCAAGACATATAGAGAACGAGACTAAGGCCAAGGCCAAGCCAAGACCAAGACCAAGACCAAGACCAAGACCAAGGCCAAGGCCAAGACCAAGACATATAGAGAACGAGACCAAGACCAAGGCAGGCCGAGACCGAGACAAGACAGAGATAGAGACCAAGTCGAGACCCAGACCAAGACCAAGCTAGGCAAGACCGAGACCATACATATCAATGAAAAATCATCAACTTATGTTAAGTGGGCGTTTCACTAATTTAGACCGTGACACCGGGAAGGTTGCAGTTGTAACCAGGGGGGCAAACCAAACTACAAATTAAATGTACAAGTATTTTCTAAGCTTGATCCAAAGGCAACTGGACTGGTTGAAGATCCTAAAGACCTTTCCCAACTCTCCACCGAAGGGCTTCTTCAGTTCTAAACTTTCCGGTGACGGAGCTAGAAATGTAAGCCTCTTCGAGATCTTCAACCAGTCCAGTTGCCGTTGGATGACTGAGGAACCTACACAGACATCCAATTGAAGTTTCATTTGTTGTTTTAGATCTTAGTCGTTTGCCTTCTAATCACAGTAATGACATGAGAAAGAAGCCTTTCAGTGGTGGTCTTTATTTAAGAGTCGGCCCAGACTGAGACCGAGACAAGACAGAGCAAAAATGTTGGCGATTCCGAGACGAGACCTTCAAAAAGGGGTCTGGAGACAGGTCTTGAGTTCTACAACACCAATGTGTTTGCAGCAGCACAGGGATGTTATTCATCAGTGGAAAGTGTTTTTCCTAATGCAGAGTTTTCTTCTAATTGTTTCTGAACAGACCAACAGCTGAAAATAACTTACATTTGTAAATCGACAAATGGCGACGAGTGCAGTGCAGCTTTTACTGGAAAGATTCCTCAATTCAATTCAACAATGAACTGTGGAGCTCGGATATGCGTCTCAAGGATAGCTGGATTTGTGCTGGAGGAACTGTGATTATGTTGAAAACCTCTCCAAAACACCTCAATGTGTGCACAACAACAGAAAAGCTCTGACCTGCTGCGAGTTGTATCAATCTACAGGGTGAACTCTTGTGTGAGGTGGAGCGAGGGAACATTACATCCCTGAGTTGCTTTTTGTGGAAAAAAAATCTTTGTTCATTGTAGGACAAGGGCAAACAAACCCCCACTCTGAAAGAAATGGTATTTTTTATAAAGACAGCTTCCACAACTCCACTTATCACAGAGGTTTATCTGAGAACAGAGATAATTGCTGCTACCAGCAGTCATGACAACACCCCCACAATATATGAGACGGTCTCGCTTTGAAGTGAATCACCTCAGAAACAAGAGTTCAAGGAGGCAATCATGCAAGAACATTTCATAGCAATTTTCAGATGGCACATCGATAATACAGCCAATGTCTTAATATAGCGGCCATGTGGCGTGGTTTAACCAATTAACTACGGTATCATAGCGCTAGGAGGCTAGCAAAGAAATCCAATATTACACAGGACTCAAAAAAACATGATGCAAAGGGTTTAAGCTGTTTGTCTTTTGGAACATTATTTCACATTTCAAGCAAAAGACTGTATAAAACATGGACGTAGAAGCCATTGGTTTTATCGAGAGCCATTTTGAAGCCGGACATTGGTGGTCGCCATGTTGGAAATGATATCTCCATCTACCTTTTTCATCTAGAAATGGGCAAAGAGGTGAAGCTGAGGCCGGTTTTAAAATGGTAAATGGACTCGGGGGCCGCTGTGGCTCAGCTGTTAGCGTCGGTCAGTAAAGTATTTAACTTAAATCTATTTTACTTTAAATTCTTAAGTTAAAGTAGTTTCTTAAGTAAAGATTACTGCAACTAGAATTCTACATCATTTAGCACCTCAATGGAAATTTCCATTATGTGTTAGCAATGAGCTAACATACAAAGATTCACACCCTGATCCCTCTGTGAACTAATGCACCAGCTACCCCTGGTTTACATTAAAGCAGCACAGTTAGGGTACTGATGCTTCATAATGTGAATCTGTGTAATCACACGGATCGTTTTGTCTGTTTTTCTTTACACTTAAGTCCATAATGATCGTCATCTCTGTACCACTTCAGCATTTCGTTGTTCTCTCTGTGCTGCATCACGGTCGGTAGTCACAGTCATTTGTTTTTGAAGGCTAATCAAGCTGCATGAGGCTCCATGTTCATCAGCATAACGAGGGACAAATGAGATCAGATCATAAGTGTGTGAGTGGGTGATATTCCTGTAAATTTCCTTGAAATGCTCAACCTTAATAATGCCCTTTCAGATCCTACAGTCAGATATGTCTCCCTCTCAGAAGGCAGATAATGATGGATATAACCATAAATAATGTCAGAGATGAGACGAGACAAAAGTTCTTGTGCCAGAATGTCATTCAGGAAGCCCGCATTCCACCAAGGAACGACCGGCCATACCTTACAAACTCTACAGTCTGCTTAATTAAGATTGCATAATAATTTGATGGTCAGTGAAGACAACATCAACAAAACACCTGCACAACCGGAATTAGATTTTCATTCAACGTTTGCTCACTGCTGATTGGTTCAAATCCGACATTGTTGGAGGAGATTTAAAGTCATTTTAAAATAATCATAAAGAGTACAGAGAAAGAAGAAGTCTTTTTCAGGGTCACTTTCTCCGTCAGAGACTTATGCAATAAAGATTTAGAGCGGTGCAGACGTATCGGTTTTGGCAGGGAGGCTTTTCTTAAACTAAGACCATTAAATTCAACTCTTACACTTCAGAGTGCATTAGACATACGACTTTCAAAGAGAAGCCGGTATGAGAACTTTGAACAGAGACTTGGAAAGTGAGCACCTGGGGGGTTCCAGGGGGTTCCTATGAACAGTAAGTTTCACAGATGAGAGGTGATCATTGACACAACAAATACAAACTCAAAGTGATGCGACATTCCTGCAATATAACGCCTCCTTATAATGTCCGTCGGTCAGTTTGAAAGATTTAGTTTCTAATGCAGCTGAAGTGTCTGAGCCTGAGGCCTTTTTTTTGTATTTTAGTCAAAGTTCATTGAAATGAATGAAGTAGACACAGTTAGAGAAACACTTTTTAGATGAAGAAGAATAAAAAAAAAAAACATCCAAACTTGATTGTGTATGAAAAGTTATCCAAAGAAGATTGTATCTTTGTTTTTTTATAAACGTGGTAAGAAAAAGTATGTCAGTTCTTTAAATCATTCATTCAACCTTTCTTTATACTCAGAGATAATCGAGGTGTAACCCAGAACATCAGGAACCACCAGATTTATGTGTGTTGCAACTGCTTGTGGGCCCCAGGCAAGTAAGGGGCCCCCCGAGGGCTTACAAACCTTAAACCACAGCAGTAGTTCAAAATGTGCAAAAAAACAGACAAAGAAGCATAAAAAGAAGCAGAAGACCGATGGATACAAGGCCAATAAATGTACGAGAAGATAAATTTAACACAACACATTCAACACATTAATAACATCACTGAGAATGACCCAATGCCTTCTTCCTACAAAACACTAAGATATAAGATAGTTATTTAGTGTTCATATGCTAAGAACAAAGTACTCTGTATCAGCAGTGTTGTGTTTAATTGCCTTGTAATTACAGTCTTTATTGTTTCCGTGGTAACATGTGATCTATTATAAGCTGGGGAGTAAAGAGCTTGATCTTTCACTTCACTTGCTGTTAGACGGGGAGATGTCCCGAGGTTGTCAGAATATATAACTCTGATGCAATTCTAGTTAAAATCTAAAGATATCAATCCCTGAGTCAGTATTACTGCAACAGAAGGATTACATCAGTCCTTGTTTTTAAATAACTAAAAATGCAGATTAAATCCTTCATGCTGTCTGAATTAAATTCAAATTCAGAACATTGTAGAGCGCTGTCTCCCCCCACCCCCTCCTCGATGTCGATCTCACACAGGTCACCATGTGGTGGACTCTGAAGCTTCAGTGTTTATCCAGCTCTGCATGGGTCTGTAAACCTTTCTGTGTTCTAACCTCTCTCCATTTTTCAAAAGCATCTCCAATATTGATCCTAGTTTGAGCACGTTTCTGCTCGTGGAGCTTATTAGAAACATGCAGAGGCTTTTTAGGTCGGGTACAATCACTTCTATCTGAACCACTTCTCTTGACCGCTTCCATCACTGCAACACCTGTTGACCTGATAACTGCTCTCATATCTGGCAAACCGAGGGGGTCCAAAACGGCCGTGTGGTGGGGGGTGTCTTAAAACCGCCTTCCTGCTCTGGTCCAAACAAATCCAGAGCATTCAGGAGCAGAATCTAAAGTTAGAAGGAGGACATACTGGCTGCTGCATTGTTGTCAGAGAAGCCAGCACTTCAACATAGCATGTTTCCTTAATGTCTGATCATATAGTAAGGTACCTTTATCATTTCAGTCAGCAGGTATATTACATACTCGTTTTAAAATATCACTGATGATGCCACGTTTTTATTTAAGCTTTGGTACTTTGCAACGCTATAACGAAATCCTAGTATCAAAAATTTAGACAACCAAAGGGAGCAAGGGAGTTAATTGACAATACATTTATTTTTGTAAATGAGGTATTGAAGTATTTAACTAAACCGTGTAAGAATGAAAGACCACATATAAGGATTTGCAGAGTTGTTGTAAGTTGTAGGTTCTGTGTCAACCAAACCGTTCTTTAATTTTGGTTTGAGTTCTGCAGAACCGTCACATAATACCACCATAACAGAAGAAAAAAAAAGTAACAGCCTCCTCTTCTAGCAGTCTCCCTCTTAGCTCAGCCTCACTCCAATAGAAACGAAGCACTGAGAGAATATAATAAGTAGCTCCTCTGATGCCTCAGCAGCACAGACATGAGGCCTGAGAAGGGAGCAGAGTGAGAGGGAGCAGAATCTGGGAGCTAATGCACTCTGGCGGCTGCAGTGGAGCATAAAGAGAAATAAATGAGTTGGTTAATACTGAAGCAGTGGCCTTATCGAGGACGAACAGACCAGACACTCAAACAGTTATTAAGAGGTATTTAGAGGTTAGTGTTTTTTGAATGAGACTGGACTGTACGAATCCTGACCTTCATTAAATATTGAATGAGAGCTGATGTAGATGTGAGGTATTTTCAAACATGCTCAAAACTACTTAAATGTTCTGGACGAGCTGTGTGTGTGAACACAAACAGCTTATAGTTTATAAACCAGCCCAGGCTTCTTCCTGTAAGCCCCCTCCTTAAGTTGCTGAATCTGTCTCCAGTTTTCAACCTGTTGATCAATCTTCTGTCAACATTCAATCAGATGGCCACCTCAAAAATCAAAATCTATGATTGACTGTTTGCCTAATCAGAGGCGGGACTTCAGTACAAATCAACTGTTCTGGCTGTTTTCAACAGGCTAATGGCAGCTCTTTCAGTTAGTAAATAAATACTTGACAATTTCATAAAAATGTCAAACTTTCGCACATTGTCTGACTTGCAAGGGAGTTAATTGACAATACATTTATTTTTGTAAATTAGACAGGGTGCAAGAGCTTGAGCAATTTTCTAAAAACTATTACTTGTGAATGCACAAAAATCTTTTTTTGACTCCCTAAAGAATGAAGTGAAGATGAAGACGATTTATATGCTGTCAAAATCTACAACTTACATATCATTTGAGGTGGTAGAAAGGGTAAAAACATTAAATACATTTTAATAGGTGTGCCCACAAACGTCATGCCACCCCTGCATAAGTCAGTTCCCCAGGTGGGCCACCCCAGCTTAAAAAAAGTCCAGACACGCCCCCTGGTCATCACCAGTAAGTAAGAAGCGTGGGCTCTTTTAATGAGCAGCAGTTACACTGAGGAAGCATTTCATTGCTTTGCTAGGGCGTTCATGATGGATAGGCCGGGTCTTTGCAATATAGCAATAAGTAAGGTCTATTACCTGCTATTACCTGCTTTTTGTAAAGTGTCTCGAGATAACACTTGTTATGAGTTGACGCTATACAAATAAAAATTGATTGATTGATTGATTGATTTGATCTCCTGAACTCATAAAAGCCAACATGGCTAGGTGAAAAAACAAACACATGGATGTTTTCTCACGGATCTCTTTTCATTCATTCCTCTTCTTCCTGCTTGTCTGTATTTCACAGGTCTTCTTCTTTCTTCATGTGTGTCTGGTTTTCTGTTTTCTTTTTTTTTCATACCCTGAACTACAAGTTGTACCTCCCCAGCCAAACCTCTAGGTGGAGCCAAAACATCTCTTATCAAAGACTAAGGGCCAGACGACACTATGAAGTACTCTCACACTCGCTGCCTGTCATACAGATTGAAGATTATAATCAATACTGTGATGCTTTCCTGTTGATATGAGAGTGATCTAACCATAACCTCAAGAACCATCAACTTATTTAACAGCACAAACTTGATTCTGTGCAAGAAATAGTACCAAAGAAATGTTTCAATAGTTACCAGGAAGAGGAGAGATTGTGACAGCTTGTTTGAATGTATTATTTCATGTATTTATTTTCTCTACTTTTGACACTGAGAAGATATCTGTGTTGTCGTTGTTGAAAAGTAGAGAGGAAAGATGAACTAGGTGTAAACTTCTTCCTACTTCTTTTTAAATCATGTTCTGATTGGTTTGTGTTGAATGTGGTGACTGATATTGTTGTATTGTTGATTGCTTTTGATATTCCCTTTTTTGTTCAAACCACATGTCAGAAATAAAGAAATGAATCAATCAAACTAGCATATCATCATAATTAAATGAGACCTTACATCACTGAACAGAGGGAGTTTTAGTCATAAAATATGCACATTAAACATCCAGAGGGCTCTGTTGATTGTTGTTATCATTTTTTTAAAAGTACCACGAGGACAACACGAGGTTCACAGAGTTTGTTTCTGGTCAGACCGGCTCCTCGATGAACCCAGATCCTGATCAGTTTCTCCCTCACCTCCTCTTCACTTCTTTTTTCTTATGAAGCCGAGGGGCCGCTCGCTTTGGATAAGGCTACCTCAACTATTGTCTGTCACCATGGCAACCTGGCCACCAGCAGTGGGGACAGTGTGTGTGTGTGTGTGTGTGTGTGTGTGTGTGTAATCCAGAGTAGAGCTATTGTTTGAGGCCTGTGCAGAACACTTGAACCGTCTTTGGACAAACCGATGAAGCTGGAGTGGTTTTGCTTGTCGGGGATCGTTGTTTGGTATTTTAAACACATGTTTTTGCTGATTAATCTTTGGTTTTAAAGTGTTAAAAAGGGGCAGATGCAATGGTAAACAACTGCAGACTTATTAAAACAAAGAATTCAACCTAATTGAAAACAGATCAAACTTCTAAATAATCTCTAATCTTCTATTTTTGTTTGGTCCACTGGAGTGAAAAAGGTACTGAGCTGAAGTCTTCAGGTCACAGAACAGAGAGGCTGACATGTTATTGCTTATCGGGTGTGTGGTCATTACCTGAGCCTGAGATCCATTCAGCATCAGATAATAGAGCTTGCTGAGGATGCTCTGCTGCAGCTGGTCCCAGGAGATACTCCTGTCCTCCCGCATGAGAAACGGAGGTCCAAACCTGAGGGGAGGAGAGGAGAGGAGAGGAGGGGAGGGAGAGAGGAGAGGAGAGGAGAGGAGAGGAGAGGAGGGAGAAAAGGAGAGGAGGAAGGGGAGGGGAGGGAGAGGAAGAGAGGAGGAGAGGAGAGGACACGAAAGGGAGAGGAAAGGAGAGGACAGACATGAGAGGAGAGGAAAGGAGAGGAGAGGAGAGGAGAGGAAAAGGAGAGGAGGAAGGGGAGGGGAGAGGAGAGGAGAGGAGAGGAGAGGAGAGGAGAGGAGAGGAGAAGCCATTAGAGCTTAATTGTGGTTAAGTAATTATTTTCAGAATGTGACAAACTATACTTTAACAGAGGAACATTTCATAAGAAGTGTAAGGTGCTGGAAAACACTATGAAAAAGATGTTAACTATAATCAAGGTAAAAGAAAAAAAGAATAATCCACCTTTCTTATTTGTCGATAACAATGTTGAACTCAGTCGATCCCTGCAGGGAAGTCTGAGCCCCCTGTTCTTAAGTCAAGCAATGGGAACTCTTTCTTTGCACACAGTAAGCCCCCCCCCCCCAGAGTACGAGATGATTACTGTCCACCCTCGGTTAAATGAATACTCTCATTAATATGATGCTGTGTTACTAAGCACATAATGACTCTTAATGGCTTCAGGGGCATCGCAGTGACTTACATTTACTGAAGACGTTTGAACAAACCAAACAAAGAACTGTGAGGATCCTCATGAACGTGCCGTTTAAAATACAAGCTAAAAGAATAGTAGACTTAGGGATGACCTCATATAGTTGAACCTTCAACGATGTGTTGGCCTAAGCCTCAGTCGACTTCCAGTCTCATAGTCGAACACAAGGATCATCCCATTCCAGCTGCATGGGGGTGTTTAATGTCTAACTTTACATAGATTTGTAAAGTCTGTTTTTTGTTGTTGTTTTTTGTTTTCTTTCTCTCTTCTTTCTCCTTTGACTCTTCTTCTCTTTCTTTTAATTTCATTTTATTGTTTCATTTTATATAACTCATTTGTTTGTTTGCCCTTCCTAAAGATGTTAAATATCGTAGAGAAAGGGAAGAAAACCTTGATGGAGGGAAAGATTTATGAATTTATGTAACACAGATCCAAGCTACCTCAGTTTTACTTCAAGCGACTTTAAACAAACATTCTGTATTTTAAGTGTTATTTTAGTATTCCACATCACTGGGGGACACAACCTTTTTGACACACACCACTTATAAAATGTAAAATATTGTCATCCTTATGTTGAATATAAAATATGTGTACTGTATGTTAAGACATGATAATAATAAAAAGTAATAAAAAAGATTTGTCTGTTGTCTCAAAATAATCCACCCTGCCTGTTTGTCCCACTGTGTTGTTGTTGTTGTTTTTGTTGTACAAGACAGGCATTGTAGGTGCTTAGCGCCTTAATGACGCTGCCTACCCTTGTTTGGGGAATATATGGCAACCGAGTAATTGAAACTTTCACAGGTTAAGTGCTTCAATTTGAGCAAATGTTTCACTTAGTCTCAAATGTCTGCACAGTCAGCCTCAAGCTACAGATGAACGGGAACTCATGCTGCAAGAGCTTTAAAGGTCACATTCTGCAAATTAAACTTCACCATGTTTCTCTAACTCTAATATGTGTCTCTAGTCTGTCTACAAACACTCCAATGATGAGAAAAGTCCATCCTCTCCGTCTTTTGCCTACTCCACTTTTCAGAAAATGTGTGCTCAAACAGGCCATTTGGAGATTTTCCCTTCATGACATCACAAAGGGCAGTAACCCCTCCCCCAGGTGGGTGACACTCCGACAGCTAGGTGTTTGTTCTGCCCTCTGAGTCTGCCTTCTCAACGTAAACAATAGAACACGGCGCAAGAAAGCACAGAGTACACCCAAGCCCTTCAAAAGAGGGGGCGTGGTCAGACACAGCTCATTTACATATTTAAAGGTACAGACACAGAAACAGCCTGTTCTGAGCAGGGCTGAAATAGAGGGGTTTATAGACATGATCAAATACAGGATCAGAGTGGATTTAGAACAAGAAACTTCACACACATGTTTTGGGGAGCTCTGAGACTTATTTAAACTGGTTGAAGAGGAGGAGAATATGTGACCTTTAAATAAAACCGCCTCATCAGTGGCATTAATGCAATAGAAATACAAACACATCTAGATATAAAGAGTTGGAAGATTAACTTTGTGAGCACTGTAAAAGCTTTGAGGTTAAGAAACGTCCTGACGATGTAAAGGCTCAGTGAGCACAGTCCGGCTGTAGAGACGAGTCGACACAAATTATAATTATTGTTCTACTCTTGAGTTTGTATTTTCTACCAAATATCGTTATTGTATTTTTTAATGAAAGGAGAAAAGACTCAATAAGCTGTCCTTACTGTAAAAAAAAAAGACTCACAGCAGCAGGAGAAAGTTTATCTAAAGCTCGATAAACTGCCTCATAAAAGTCACAAAACTGTCCCAATGTGCTGGAAAATCAATAAACAAGAACAGAGCCTTGTAGCTCTGTGACTCAATCAGCTGAGAACACAACATCAGGTCAAATCCAAACCATTGAGAGAGAAAAAAAACACTGAACCAGCAACAATAAGAGTTTGAGCATCCGTCAGCCTGCAGCTCACCTGACAGCCTGCTGGCCAGATCCAGCTGTGTTGCAGATGAGGAAGAGGACCTTGGAGGAGCCGCCCTGGTTCAGGTATTCAGAGGAGAGCGTGCCAGACGAGAGCAGCCTCTGACCGTCGGGTCCGGCCGTGGAGGTGTAGGGGGAGGAGGGGAGGCTGTGGTGATACCCTGAGGTGAGCAGAGGACAGGAGAGAACGAGTTTAATAAAGGCTGACGTCACAACTAGAATCTGTATCTGTTCGCTTCAAAGTCGAAAAAAGTGACTCATCAAACTGGTGGCGTCAGTTTTGGTGGAGAAAAGTTAAAGCTCCTGTCGGGAACTTTTGGAATACAATAAGTGGGTGTCGTATCGTTATTCACCCCGGGGATGAATAGAGTATTTCTAACTCTGATATCAAGATGAAATGGGACGGCCAAACCTCTTATCTGCCAGGAAATGTAAACTTTGACATTATCAAATGATTTAATTAAAGAATGCATGTTCCAACCCTGCAGAGCAATTAATCATCGCCACCGTCAAGCATCACACACACACACACACACACACACACACACACACACACACACACACACACACACACACACACACACACACACACACACACACACACACACACACACACACACACACACACACACACACACACACACACAGACATGAAAACGAAACAGAATATTCAAGAAGAAAGAAAGTGTAAAGAAAGATGTAGGGCCAAGACGCCAAGCCATCACAAAAGCACACTAAGTATTGAGACACACACACACACACACACACACACACACACACACACACACACACACACACACACACACACACACACACACACACACACACACACACACACACACACACACACACACACGCTGAGTGTAACTGGAATCTCACATTTTTTCACACTTAAATATAATATAAATCAAGTATATCCTCTGAAAATAACTCTGTGAGTCATGACTGTCTACAATGGGTGTAACACCCGAGTCCCACTGTCTGTGATGTTTTCAGAGTTTTCAGAGTCCTATCTTCACTTTGTTTACATCGCCGGGATGGCCGGCTGACTCCTCCCCTCGTGTATAAAAGTTGTTTAATTGAGGGACTAGAGAAAAGAAGAATAACATACTGTACTCACTGCTTAACTGTGTTTCTAGATCACGCTCATTTCAGGTAAATTTACATGCAGTGTGAAGATACCAGCATAATAAAGATCGCTAGCATTAGCATGCTAACACAACAATGCACCGCTAGTTCTTTTGGTTTCATGCTGGTGCTCAAGGGCGACATCTGCTGGATCTAAAAATCACATATTAAGCCTTTAAACAAAAAAATGATAATACCTGAGTGAGAACATAAAAGTGCTAACCTTTAAAGAACCTGAAGAAATGATGAAGTCTTTGTGTTTGTTTAAACTTCTATTCGGTCACACAGAAATGTTTAAAGTATTGTGTCGTCTCGTTCGATCACGAACACAACATCGTGTAGCATATCGCCTTGTGATCGTCACACTCCTGATATTACCACTTCAGGTGGAGCAGGCAAAAGCAAATATTGAAAGACGAGGATGAATGTGTTCAGTCAAGATTCTTCACATTCATACTTCATTCATGATTAGTGTAAACTAGTGTTTTCTCAAGGACTTTGAGAAAACAATACATTTCCACCCTGTATATTGAGGTCAGTATTGAAGTTGTTGGATTCATAACCAGAGTGTCCTACATGGCGGGGAGTGAGACGACCTGGGAGAACCTCCTGCCTGAATCTCATTCTCACCTCATCCTGGGATGCAGAGAGGAGAGCCACAGCAATTGGGAGGTGTGAGTGGGGTGGAGAAAGACAGACAGAGGGCGAAGTGAGAGACAGAGAGAGAGAGAGAGAGAGAGAGAGAGAGAGAGGGAGAGAGAGAGATAGAGATAGAGAGAGAGAGAGAGAGAGAGAGAGAGAGAGAGAGCACAGCGGAAAGAGCAAGAGAGTGAGAAGAGTTCTCCCAAGGCAGCTAGTAGAAAAAAAAACAGTGTCTGCTTCTTATTTTAATACAGAGTATTTCTGAACGGGAAAAAAGAAGGATCTGTGCATGAAAATAAAATGATGTTTCATACAGTCTGTGGTTATAACAGCACACTGAGCATGATGTCAGAGGAAAATGGCCGGCATGTAAACAAGATGAATTGTGTGTACAGTATTGAGGCTACCTCCTGTTAGGACTACAGTTAGCTCCCACCAAGTGGTAAACTCCGGTGTTGAAAAAATGAAGCCGTGGAAAGTGCAAAATCCTGTAGTTCATCAAGTGTCCACTTGAGGCTGGCAGCAGGAACACCAGAAGTCACATACACACAACAGGCAAAAGAAAGCTGCTTTTACAGCAGAAATAAACATGTTTACAGCCTGGTACAATTAGTACTGATGAGTTATTGTCTTCATGGACACACACTGTATGGTGGGGGTTTTTTATGATATTAGTGAGGGAAATATCGCTGACTGAACGTTGAGTATGACCTGAAGCTGTTAAATTAGTTTAAAAGGTTACTTCCTGCAGTGTCACTGTGAACGCTGCTTTTGACGACCGTCCACTCTGAAGGATTCCAACCGCTCAGCAACAATGATTTAAATAGCACCTGAGATCAAAGTGTTTCAGCTCTGACACATTTTGAAACGCTTGTTTTTGACATCAATGTGTAAAAACGTTGTGAAACAAACACAAAAAACAAAACCTCAGAGAGGATTTTGGCCACACACACACACACCGGCGCTCTTTTCCAGACAAAAATGAGAGACCCACTGTCATAGCAAGCCACACACCTGGCTAAAAATACCCAGGGGGGGCTGTGGGATTATCCCCAGGCGCAGACACATCTCAGGTCCTGGTAATAAGGAGCAGCTCTCTGACCACCTCCTCCTGTCAGCAAAGCACCTGAGCTTCCTGCCATCAGCCAAACAACAGATTAAGGAGGGCAGCAGCGGAGGAGCATACACCTGATGCTCCCTTTCTTTTTAAGCATCCCTCAAATATGTGGAGTTCACCTTTCCTCTGATTTGATCTTCATGGTTTGTTTCAAAAAAAGAGATCCACATGCAGATGTGACGATCAGAGCACCAAGTGTAGTCACATCAGATTTCTTTTCCGCCTTTATTGTCTTCAGGATATTTTAAATAAAGACTCTACATGTAGGGAGAAGAGCTCCTCTGTGAAGAGAACTGGAGTATTTTTTTTTTTTTGCTGCTCTGCACTGAGTGTGCTTTAGGCAACCTGTAATTGCCTTTAATGGAACTGCACTGGAAGTGTACTTAGCGGGCTTTCATTTGCTTTTCAGCTGAATATGAGTCGAGCTCAGGAGCAGACTTTCCTGTTTCACCGTCATGTGAGACGGAGAGAGAGAGAGAGCGGCAGACGAGGGCTAATAAAAATCTGACACTACAAGATTCTGCTGTCGATTTCAAGACGTGATCTGCATCTCAAAGTCGGTACGGTTATCTGTGTGCTCGTCCACATGTCCCCCGCTGCACTGCTTCTGTTTCCATCGCCGGATGCCGGAGCACGGCGCTGCATCAATTTACCACAGAGCAGAGATCGAGCGGGACAGGAAGTCAAGACACCAAAACAACATTAAAACATCCGGTTTATTTGTCAGAATAAGCATTCAGACGTTGCAGGAGCACGGCACAGTGGGAGCTCCACATACACACACAGTCAGACATGCACACACACACACACACTGCGCTCTCCCGCTAGCTCAGCTGAACTCTGTAACGCCTCTGTTACTTCCTCTGAAGACGGTACAAAGTTGGGATCACTTCATCCCTCCCATTACGCCTCAGTGAAACGTCCCAGAGGAGTAAATATCTCGGCTTGAAGCTGCAGTCTGAACAGGTCTGTTTCTCTCTCTGTCGGCCTCACTCTGAGCAGGCAGCTCCCTCAATCAATTCTCCTCAATCTTCATTAACTCCTCCATCATTCGGGTTTCAAGCGGCTGAGCTCAAGGGCAACCGAGTAAAACATCTCAGAAAGTTAGAACCCCTAAACTTCCCCGAGCTTCAACTACTCCACAAAGTGCCTTTCATGGGAGTTTCAGCATTTTCTATTCCACTTTTCCTTTTCAGGGTTTCAGGGGGCTGGAGTCGATCCCAGATGTCATTGGGTGAGAGGCGGGGTTACACCCTGGACTGTTCACCTGTCAATCACAGGGCTGACATATACTGTATTTTCCGCACTATAAGGCGCACCGGATTATAAGGCGCATAGAATAGAACGTGTTTACAACTGAACAAGGCTGGGAGATATTGTGAATATATAAAACTATGTTGTATACGTAGTGCATTCACAATAACTCAACGTTGTTCAAACGTTAATGTGCATATTCACAATATCTCCCAGCCTTGTTCAGTTGTAAACACGTAAAAGAAACACAGTCTGATACCGCTAATTCAAACGTTAGTGCGTAACTCAACATTGTTCAGTTACGTATAACACGTAAAGCTCACTTTTTCAGTTCATTCCCCGTCCACGAATCCCTCGAATTCTTCTTCTTCAGTGTCCGAATTGAACAGTTGGGCGAGTACGGCATCCAACATGCCCGGCTCCCTCTCGTCATTATCCGAGTCAGTGTCGCTGAGCGCCGTGTACGACCAGTATGGATCAACCAATTAACCAATTGATCCATATATAAGGCGCTCCGGATTATAAGGCGCACTGTCGTTTTTTGAGAAAATTAAAGGCTTTTAAGTGCGCCTTATAGTGCGGAAAATACGGTAGTGACAGACAACCAGACACACTCACATTCACACCTACAGACAATTTTACAGTCACCAGTTAACCTAAGGAGCATGTCTGCAATTACAGTGCAGAGTACAAGTTTAAAATCTTATTAAAGCTGTTTAATTAAAGGCAGCTACAAACAAGTGTGTCTTAACCTCGATTTAAGAGGAAACAGCGCTAACCCTCGCACCACCATGCAGCAGATCTAAATATGACAAATCATCTTTCAGATGAATAAAAACTCATTATTCATCACAAACCCGATGTAGGCTACGATGTAGAATCTATGAATAAAGATGAATCTTGTTTATACATTCACACAGCTCTACCTGATGTCTGTGCCACGATGGTAAAGGCTCAACCTGTTGTGAAGTGGTAACGTGGACAGGTAATGTATGCTGAGATATCGGAGCAACACGTGTCAGTTTTCTCAGTCAGCAGACACATACTGATGTCCTCTCACAGCTGGTTTTCTCTCTGACAAGCCAAAACAGCAAACCAGTTTGAAGGTCACTCAACTACTTTGGAGTGATTTTAAAACAGCAGAACTGAGTGAGGGAGAGAGAGAGAGAGAGAGAGAGAGAGAGAGAGAGAGAGAGAGAGAGAGAGAGAGAGAGATGGGAATGAATGGGCTGAGATGTGCTCTCAGTGTGAGATGACGTGGAAGATTGAAACAGGAAGAAGTCAAATTACAGAGTCAGATTTTTGTCTCGCCCAGAGGAGGAACAGAGGATTATTTTTATGTGATACAGACTCCATCATCACATCTCTACATGTTACTCTGTGATCCTGGAAATGATATTTTTCCGCCATGTTCTGGCTGATCTTGTAGTAGAGGATGTAAATGATGCTCCTAGTGAAACACACAAGTATTCTCCACGTATGAGAGTGCTTTTCAGATTGAAGGGATGGACATCACTGTGGAGCCGTCATTATATCAAAAGCAGCAGCAGCACAAAAGGCTCTTTATCTGAGCTGTAGAACAGCAGAGCAGTATTAGAGCCTGTGTCCACACAGACAGCGTCCACATTACCTCCATTTTAGAGCGCTTCCTACCTGACCTCTTTGTTGCTAGGTTACGAAAATTTGCTTAATGTTTGATTAAATTCAAGGAGATTTCACCAAGAAAACATGAAAACAATGTAAAGTGTCCTGGCATCATCATCAGCAGATCCACACCTGGAAACTCTGTCCTCCAAAAGACGAGGCGGACTAGCACCCTCATCCGCTGCTGTTGTTATTGTTGTAAAAGCTGATATCAGAAGTCCCGCCCCTTCTTGGTTTTGTCGGTAATGGAGAAGTGACATAAGTTGAACTGATTCCAACTAAGAGCGCTGTGAGAGCAGCGACAAAAAACAGCTGAAGGCAGAGGGCGTTTTCAGCGCTCAGGATGCTCAACTACTTTGTTTTTGAGTAGAAAAACAAAAATCTGTCTGTGGACACCGGCCCTAACAGAGCTCTGTGTCGTGTTCTGGTGTCTGATACACCGTCAAACATGTGGATGAGGAAACAGATATGAGGAAACAAATTAATTTAAATACTCGCCCGCTTTGTTTCAGACCATTAATTAAACACGTTTCAATGTGAGAGTTCTCCTTGTGTTAGATCCTCTAAACGCTCTCTCTAAACATCTGTCCTCCCCACTCGAAGTTTAACTACGCAGAAAATGCTTGCCATATATCATCTTCAGTATCGTCGGAGTATCGGCGTTCTGTGGTCCGAGCAGGGCGGCTCGTGTAAATTGTAGTTTAGCTACACTTCATTAAACACGACATAAATCCACTGGAATGGAAGTTATGATATCCTGGAATCTGCTCCGCTGTGATCTCATGAATTATTCTGAGCCGAGGACCATTCATCACTTTCATCAGACGGCTCAGGAGAAAGGAGGAAGTCACAGTGAGTGTGTGTGTGTGTGTGTGTGTGTGTGTGTGTGTGTGTGTGTGTGTGTGTGTGTGTGTGTGTGTGTGTGTGTGTGTGTGTGTGTGTGTGTGTGTAAATAACAGTATTCCCTCTGACTCTCTTGATTTATAAATAGCTAACTTTTTGTTTTTGCTTCACAATAAAGCTGCCATTTCAAAATGTGCAGATTGCATAAAGTGTGCTGCGACAGTGTTGCTTATTAGCATGCTCGCTGCTTATTGATATCTATCATGTCTGTGGATCCTCCACCTGTTTGGGAGGGGGGGTGGAGGGGTTCAAATCTGCTTCTCCTTGTATGATGGGGGAAAAAATCTGACAAGCAACCATTTTAAATGCTGCATCATGTTAGTTTTCCTTTATGTGTAGTTCTTTAGTCTCTAGCAATATTTGCACGCTGTTTTTGTCTTTACAACAAAATGAACCTTTCCTCACATCCACCATGTCTGTACGCGACCCTGAACAAGAGTGTTCAAAGGCAGACATCGCCCTCTGCTGGATTAACTTGAGGATTGCAATGTATATTTTTGTTTCATGGATTTAAATTGTCCATATATGGGTTGTTGTTGTTTTTTCGAGGGTCAGTAACAACCCTAGTGACAACCATAACACAATAACTACAGACGTCTACATTGCAACTTTTACTTCCAGCAGCCGGTTAAACAAAATATTGTTTATAACTGGAGGCGGGGCTTATGACTTGTAACACAGCCATTAAATAGGCTTCACTTTTTTAAAAGCTGTCATGTCGTCTTTCTAATTATAAAAGTGGAGGGTAAAAGGTTGATCAACAGGACAGAGTGATGGAAACTAGATCACTGTTCTTGCTGCACATGTTACCATGGTTACCTGAGTGCTGTGAGGAGCCTCCACGACTGTGGAGGGGCGGAGCCTGAAAGGCGTAGACGACATCACTGTCAGCGATGGCTGTCAGGTCATCGTCGTCTGAGAAGGAGCGCTGGAAACCCGTGGAGAAGAGCTCGGAGAGGATGACCTGAAGACACGACGAGAGAGGAAAACGAGACGGTGTGAGCTTTCTGCTTTCAGACACACACAGCTACAAAAAAGAAACAACTTCTGAATGCTTTAAACCAAATTATACTAAATGGGACCAGAAATTGAATTTAAATGATACTGAAACAGACAAAAACGACATTCAGCCTTCATGGCAGAAGAACTAACTTCCTGTTCAGACTGGCAGAGATGTGCGACATCGTAAAAAGAGTTCTGCACGTTCAGAGAGAAACTCAAACTCGTGTTATCAGATCAAGTAAAGACAAAATCTAAAGGTTGCTGCTTTAGAAATAAATCCTTTAAATCAGCTCGTACACGCTTAAAGACATTTAATCAGAGACCACAGCTCGAGCACTACAGTAAAATACAGAATATCAAACCTCCCATCATGAAACTCTGCAAAGAGAATAATATCAGGGACGAGTTTCTTCTTTCAAAATGTCTTATTACTCGATGTGTGCACGTCCTACTTTCATGTTTAAGTCATCAGAGCCTTTACACTGATACTAAAGCTTCTACTCAGTGAGCAGAGCCATGCAGAGTATAAACTGCAGACTGAGACGTGTTGGTTTGAAGTCTTTGACTCTATCGTGCCTTATGCCATGACAAGAAATTTCCATGTTTGATTGAGAGGCAGACGTGCTGATTATAGCACCTTTGTGGGAGGATAATGAGGTGACCATGACAACAGCACTTAAAGGTCACACATTATACAGCAAAATACACTTTACCATGATTTTCTAGCACTAATATGTGTACCTAGCATGTCTACAAACTTAGAATATTTTCACAACTGTGTGTCTGTGTGTCTGTGTGTGTGTGTGTGTGTGTGTGTGTGTGTGTGTGTGTGTGTGTGTGTACCTGGTCTGGGGAGATGTTGCCCTCCTCTGCCACCATGGATCTGAGGCTGGACACGGAGCCAAAGAGAGGGACAGCCAGTCCCACCCGCAGGTACCTCTGACCCTTTGTACTGAAAACCAGCGTCACATACATCGGTCTGTGGGGTAAAAAAAACAGGAGAGAGAGGGAGGGGGAGAGGAAGTGTATTTGTGTTTGTATGTGTGTGTGTGTGTGTGTGTGTGTGTGTGTGTGTGTGTGTGTTAGGGAGGAAAGGGGAGGAAGAGAGAGGGAGAAGATAGATTACATCTTAGAGCAATGTGCCAAATTGTTTGGCAATACTGATTTTGCATATTTACATAATTTCATATTCCAAACACACACACACACACACACACACACACACACACACACACACACACACAGGTGTTATGCAGATACCTCTGGAGACACACGTCAACTAAAATCCAAATAGAGAGAGAAAATAATGCATTTCTTAAAATCAGGTGCGCCGGGGGCAACAGAGATCAGGCTGACGGTTTGTTTAGGAGATGTACTCCTGCAGAGTCTTGATGTGTTTCAGCTGAAAACAAAAGACCTGCACTAAGTGAGACTTCGAAATGAAACCATGAAGCTGCACCATGTCTGAAAGAAATCCCTCTGACAATGCTGCAGCAGCAATCTACCTGCATGATGTCTGTGTCTGATCCAAAGTGAGCTCGTTGTATTCAGTCGTAGCTTTTGGAGTGTTTCATCTCTCTTCAGTGTGAGCGTTTGAATTTATGTGTGACTGGACATGACTGAAACCAGCACATTGGTGACGGTCCCTCAGGAGGTCCCTCTGTGCTGGGACACATTTGATTCAGAACAATCAGAAACACCTCCAGTAAGGGATGAAAATGTTGAAAGGATGGTGGAGACTCAAGAGAGAGAGAGAGAGATAGAGAGAGAGATAGAGAGAGAGAGAACCAACAGATACTCATTTATTCCCTTTTGGTTTCATGCTGTTGAATGCGTAACTTTAATTGATTTACTGTATGTACTGTTACTGTAAATTTAGGTAACCTGTAAGGTCCATTCATCTGTATCTATTTATTAGATACATTTCTGGCGTTGTATTTATTCATTTCTAAATTTGCTAGCTCTGGTTTTCGTAACAGTAACAGGACAATAAAAGAAAACTGAAAATAAAAGCAAAAAGGCAATTAATGCAAACTACGGTAGCCCTAAGTGGACATGCATCAATAAGGCAAATTTCAGTTTTTTTCTCCACAACTGAAATTATACATCTCCAGTGGTGATTCTTGAGTTTCTTGGGGCCTGAAGCAAAAATCAATTGGGGGGGGTCCTCCAACCAGCGTTCATCTGCCAGTGTCCCGACATTTTCTCCTCTTCCTTCTTTTTTCTTGTTTCTTTATCCTCTCCTATAGACGTATCGTTCCTATTCATTTTTTTACTTTGTTAAGAAACTTTTGTTTTCACAGCAATAATGCACAAGACGCTTAGCAGGGCAACGAGAGTGAGTGCTGTCAGATGGGGCCCCTTTAGGGAGGTTACTGTCATTGCAAAATTTGCACATTTTGGGCCACTGCTAAGGTCTAAGTTTGTGAGCCCTGAGGGCCCCCCGTACTAGTCTGGGACACCAAGCAGTTGCATGCCTTGCATGTTAACAAGCAGCACTTTTGTATGTCTCATTATCTCGAAATAACAAGGTTTTAGTTTTTTCTTGATAGCTTGATAAATTCCCTCGACATCACTGGAAAAAATGAGCGATGTTATCCCGAGTTAACGAGATAAATACGTTGAAATCTCGAGAAAACAACTAAAAATTTACGTCCATGAAAAAATATACGGATGTACAGCCGCTCAGGGCTTCTTTAGCAAACAGACACTTAGCAAACTAATAAAGGCAAACAGACTTACACTTCTTTTATTTTTATTTATTTGTTTATTATTATTATTATTATTATTATTATTATTATTATTAGATTAAAAAAAAAAAATCATTGTTAAAATATTTATAATTGCTAATTATTACTTTTCATTATTGTTATTGTATTATTTGTTATTATATGCTTTGGCGATATTTTACACATTCATGCCAATAAAGCTATTTGAATTTAATTGAATTGACTGATTCAGTAACTAAAAAAAAATGAATAAACTGATCTATGAATAAATTATAGATCAGTAACACAGTCTTTGTAAAAGTCTGTCTGAAGACTGAATGTGATGAGGACATGAGAGAAGAAAAAGGAGAGCAGGTATAGTAAAGAAATTAAAAACAAAAGTGTGAAGGAAACGACAGAGCTGCTGGGACAGAGCGAGGTCACGCCTTCTCATTTGGGATAATCGCTGACACCTCCACATCCTGTTTCCCATCATGCAATATTCAGGTGAGTAATGCGTTAGCAGCGGGGTGGCTGACAGGGCCAGACGGCAGAGGATCCCAGCAGCTGTTTTATTTACGCTGTAGATGCTCCGAGATGAGACTCCGAGATGGGAAATGAAAAAAGGAAGAGAGAGGTGTGAGATGATCCTCGAGAGGAACAGGAAATCAAGATGTCTTCTATCGCAGCAGGTTTGCAGCCTCACGGCCCCCCTGCTGATTAGAAAACCAAAGTCTCTACTGAACAGCAAAGTCTCCTCATTTCCTATTTTACAGACAGAAGAAGAAATATATGAAAGTCCACTTATTGCTTCCACTCAGAAAAGAAAAAAGTGTGAACGCCAAGAATTGAAGATGAAGAAAAACACTCGTCTTCAGTCCTAATGATGAGATAAAAAGTCATGGTGGTGGCATAAAAAGTAAAAAGGTCAAATTGGTGGATGTGGCTTTATATCTTAAAGGCTTTAAAGGGTTTTTTTTACACTTAAATATAATATAAATCAAGTATATCCTCTGAAAATAACTCTGTGAGGCATGACTGTCTACAATGGGTGTAACACCACGTCCTATCTTCAGTTTGTTTACATCGCCCGGACGGCCGGCTGACTAAAAGTTGTTTAATTGAGGGACTAGAGAAAAGAAGAATAACATACTGTACTCACTGCTTAACTGTGTTTCTAGATCACGCTCATTTCAGGTAAATTTACATGCAGTGTGAAGATACCAGCATAATAAAGATCACTAGCATTAGCATGCTAACAGTTGTTTTGGTTTCATGCTGGTGCTCAAGGGCGACATCTGCTGGATCAAAAAATCACGTATAAAGCCTTTAAAGAGTAACTAAACCCCCAGATCATTTTTTTTCCATCTGGAAACCTCTGTATATGGGAATCATGTGTTATTTATGTGTGTGTGTTTGTGTGTGTGTGTGGCAAAGACTGTCTGATGTTGCAGCTGATGGTGACGGCATAAAGGATTGAGTGGGTGTGTCTTATCCCCCTCCCCCCAGCCCCCTCCAAGTTGATGCGTTGATGTTCTAATGACTTTTTTTTAAATCCTGTGTAGATACACTTCAGCTGAAACTCTGCGGCTGAGTTCTCCACAATATATTTTGTATTTTTAGGTCTTATGTTTTTCTTAATGATTTCCTTACAGCTCTGGTTTTTATGAATAGTGTTCTATAAATAAACTCGCCTGCTATGCTGTGTTCAGGCGCCGAATGAAAAGCCTGTCAAAAGAAACTTTTGAGAAACGGTTGATGAACACATTTGCACTGACAGGTAACATTTTTAGACCAGAAAGACACTCTCAGTAGAGTGCAGATGTCTGAGACAATGAATGTAACTTTTTTTTACATTTTCACAGCTCCCTCCTGTTTCACAAAAAGATTGATGCTACTTTTATCACATACAAAAGAAGTGCTTCTCAAGACCTCAAAATCCTGCTCAGACTTTAAGTTACTCTTTCATAATGTTTGTTGCTATGCAATGTTGAAGTGCTACAATGCAGCAGCCAGTATGTCCTCCTTCTAACTTTAGATTCTGCTCCTGAATGCTCTGGATTTGTTTGGACCAGAGAAGGTAGGCAGTTTTAAGGCGACCCCCCCCCACACGGCCGTTTTGGACGCCCCTCAGTTTGTCAGATATGAGAGCAGTTATCAGGTCAACAGGTGTTGCAGTGATGGAAGCTGGCAAGAGAAGTGGTTCAGATAGAAGTGATTGTACCCGACCTAAAAAGCCTCTGCATGTTTCTAATAAGCTCCACGAGCAGAAACGTGCTCAAACTAGGATCAATATTGGAGATGCTTTTGAAAAATGGAGAGAGGTTAGAACACAGAAAGGTTTACAGACCCATGCAGAGCTGGATAAACACTGAAGCTTCAGAGTCCACCACATGGTGACCTGAGTGAGTATAAACTCTAGAGAGGAGGGGGGGGGAGACAGCTCTCTGTAATGTTTAGAATTTAGACTGCAGTACCCGTTTTAAACACTAGGTGTCAGAGTTACATATTGCTCCTTTAAATGATTCTATTGATTTACATCTTGGGAATCCAACTGGAAATATTGAAAGCATTGTTTTATGAATGGGATAAAAAATAAAATGAATAACTTAAACATCACAAAAGTAGAACAGGAGCTGCATGCAATCACTTAGTCCATGTTCTCTGGAAACGTGTTGGGCCCTTTTGTACTTTGCAGCCTTACAGGGTCCTGTGAGAAATCCTAACTTCATTAATTTCACTGAAAAGGAACGAGGAAGATTCTTGGCAAAGACTGAAGACGTTCTGAATAGTTGCTTGAGAACAAATAGTTTTATTGAGGGGAACTGTGCAGAGACAGTCAGAGATAGTGAGGTGTGTGTTTTTTCTTTCTTTCTCTTCCACAGAGGCGATATCTGCAGCACCCAGACCTCAGTGCCCCGCTGTCAGCCAGACCCTGCTGTGTCTCTGTCTCTTCTCAGGCATTCTAATGGGATACTGCTGCATGAGGACACTGTGTGTGTGTGTGTGTGTGTGTGTGTGTGTGAAGCCAGTGTGGGTCCAGCAGTGAATCTGAATGCTTTTTCCTCCTTGTTGGGTTCAGTGGACTGCAGGGACAGACCACACACTGTAAGGGAGTCACAGAAGTGAGTTTGGGGGGTGGGGGATGGGAGGGGTGGGACATGCAGAGAGGATACAGAGCAGGGACGTCTGCATGTTTGAAGATATGAGGAATCACTGCAGACCGACTACAAGCAAATCATGTTTGAGGAGTTTAACTGATATTTGTTGTATTAGTATTCTTTTCAGACACTGTGTGTGACTGAAGGTGTGGGCATATATATATACTAACTCCTAACCCGAATCTATTGGCGGAAAAATGTCCAAGTCTGCCACAGTAGCAAGCAGCAAGCTGCTATTGGACCTTCTTCTGGTGGAGGTTAAATGGTAAATGGACTTGAGCTTTACTCCAGAGCACTTTTACACCACAAGTCGCACCTATCCATTCACACACTGATGTTGGAGGTTGCTATGTACTGAATTAATTTGCACAAACAGGCATGCGGACGTCAACCTGCAAAGAGTGGTACATGGTTCTAGTGTTGCTAACATTAGCCAGAACCAGCAAATCAATTTGACATGTTACCTGCAGACCAGGGGTGATCCTGTGTTTAGCCATGTTCAATTACTTATGGTCAATTTTGACTGTTTCGTCAATGTTTTTTTACTTTCAGACTAATCAACCGGTCTGCATCTAAATTAGAATTTAGCTGGAAATGAGTCCTATAGGAACGTCCCTAGTCCAGACTCTATAGCTGATATGAGCCCTAGACCACCAGAGAGCATCAGAACACTTCTTGATGAAGTGACCCAGACCAACAAAGTGACTGATCAACATGCCAGACAATCACCATCAGTCTTCATCCATCATTGTTTTAACTGTAAGGGGGCAGACAAACATGCACCGGCATCATACTGAAATGAAAGCTGATGTCCACAGTAACAACATTATCGTTTTGTGTGTCATCATACATTACCTCGTTTGTCGTAGGGGGATGGGCAGAGAGATGCAGGAAAACGGGTCGAAGGTGTTGCTCTGCTTAAGGCAATGTGGGCACGTCAGAGAGGACCTGGAAAAAGACAGAGAGAGAATAATTTGAGTCATTTTTTTGATGACTATATACTCTTTGTTTGGATATCTTAAAAGCCATTTGCTCTTTAGGTCTCCATCCTTGGGTAGCATTGTTAATAATTCCTCTTGCCATCACCTGCCATCTTGATCCTGATTTTACTACCTCAATTGTGTGAATTCTGTTTATAAAGTTTTTCAATGAGGTTCCAATGGGACTGGTACTTTGTGTATAGCATGAGTGCACTCCTCTGGGGCCCCTGCAGAAAGCAAATCAAGAAATCTGTCCTAAATGTGTTGTTAAATAAAGGTCAGAAAGTGAGAAAACGTGGGATGAGGTTACAAATATTGGTGCACAAAATACAGAGTTATGCAGGTGAGGTGTTGCAGAATATTAAAAGACTGGATCCTAAGAACACAGTTATCTTAAGAGGAGAAAGTAAAGGATGAAGGGTTGGAGGAAATAGAACAAAGGCTGACTTCAGAGTAGGCAGATGATGCAAAAAGTGGCGAGCAAAGAGACAGAGAAGAACAAAAAAGACGACAGTACGGGTCTTAGGGTTCAGTGGGACCGTAGATCTCTGAACAGAAGGCTGGCAGAAACACAATCGAGTTGACAAAACCAAACAGCAAAGCGGATGGAGAAAAAAGCTGATGACAGCACCCGTCAAGGTCTTTGAGTCTCCAGGACTGAAGATCATGATCAGAGAGTAAAGAAAAAAAGAGAATCATGGGTCATTTGTTGGACGCAGCAAAACAGGATTCATGAAAGACTGATGACTGTTTTGATTATGAAAGATTTTGGCATCATGCAGTCAAATTATAAGAACACTTCCCCACGGCATTGGGTTGTGTGTGAACCTACAGGTTAGCCCTGGTTAGCTTAGCTGAGAGAGACTAATACAAGAGTAAATATCTTCTTTGCTCCTTCCACAGGAAACAAAATCTGCCTACCAGTACTCAAAAATGTACTACTCAAAGCAGCAAAATGTAGCTAAAATTGGTACCGCGGTCCAAATTCAAAAGTTTGTGTGCTCTTAGCGTAACTTGATGCTTGCTTACACTCTTGATCTCAGTAAATAAAGAGGGTAATGTAAATTTGGCACAATAAAGGAGGGCTCAGTGAAGGAGACGCAAACTTATGAGGGAGACTCCTCTCTCTTTGCAGACGGCGCCCTAACGCTTTGGTGGAGAGACACAGAGAGACACAAGATAACAGAAACTCTCCAAGCTGGCTCGCAAACACCACAGTGTTTTCTGAACGGGAGTTCTCGTCAGCAGGTGATATTGTAAAAAAAAAGTTAGACTCGATCCCAATCAAGATGATAGACTTGTGTAAGGGGAATAATATTTAAAAGTTGTTGGCTTAATAATGCTCATATTGTAACGGTTCAAAGCGTTTGAAATTCTCGATTAGTGGGCTACCTATAATTCAAGTGGAGGGCGACAGCGGTGTGAAAACGGTCTTCTCATATCATAACATCTTTTACAGATGTGAGATCTTTAAAGGCTTTATATGTGATTTTTCACACTTAAATAAAATATAAATCAAGTATATCCTCTGAAAATAACTCTGTGAGTCATGACTGTCTACAATGGGTGTAACACCCGAGTCCCACTGTCTGTGATGTTTTCAGAGTTTTCAGAGTCCTATCTTCAGTTTGTTTGCGTCGCCGGGACGGCCGGCCGGCTTATCCCCTTGCGTATAAAAGTTGTTTAATTGAGGGACTAGAGAAAAGAAGAATAACATACTGTACTCACTGCTTAACTGTGCTAGCATTAGCATGCTAACACAACAATGCAGCGCGAGTTGTTTTGGTTTCATGCTGGGTCTCAAGAGCGACATCTGCTGGATTAGAAAATCGCATATAAAGCCTTTAAGTTGTTGAAGTTTTAAAAATAGAGTAAGAATTTTTTTTAATGTTGCTGTACAAAAAACTTTAAAGTAGTTTTCCTCTCTGTACGTTAACTTCTGATGTCCTTTGTAAATGACTCTCAGAGGGAATTGTTGCTGCATAACGCTGACAGCTTACAGCGTTTCTGCACATTTTGAGAGTGTGAGTGTGTTGCCTGATGCTCGGTTGATCTCCTGCTGTCTCGCTATCATTCCTGCCAGTTGAGTCGTATCCAAGTCTGTGGAGCTGCTAACACGTCGGATGTACAAATATGTTGGAAATAATACAACAGTTTTCAGGCTGTCAGTGTTGTGAGCAGCGTGCCGAGGCAGACAGTCACAGGCTCGCTAATGATGCCGGTTTGTACTGAGTGAAGCAGACTGACAGGCCGTCAGCACACACACACAAACATACTGTAGACACACACACACACACACACACACACACACACACACACACACACACAAACATACTGTAGACACACACACACACACACACACACATACACATACTGTAGACACACGCACACACACACACACACACACACACAGACACACACATACTGTAGACACACACACACATACTGTAGACACACACACATACTGTAGACACACACACACAGACACACACATACTGTAGACACACACACACATACAAACACATACTGTAGACACACACACACACACACACACACACACACACACACACACACACACACACACACACACAACACACACACACACACACACACACACACACACACACACACACACACACACACACACACACACACACATTTTTGATAGGCAGCAGGTAGTGGGGCTAATACGTCAAACATAAAGACCAGCATCCTTCAGACCAGGTACCTGAACCTGCACCAAGCACGCCACCGAACACGCAGCTGGCCGACAGAACAGCAGCGTCTCTAAATATCAGAATGAAAGATGAGCTGCTAAAATAAAAAAAAACACTCCACCAGCAGCATCTCTGAAACATATGCAGTTTCACAATGTCTGTTCACAGCAGTTACTCTAAATTCAGAATCTGTGCAGAACAAAGATCAGGGTTAGGAGGGTGAAAACGATATGATGCAGCTCAAAAAAGACCAGGACGTTTTGTATACGGCACACTCTGTATAGAAGTCATGTAACGGGTGCTGGATGGCCTCATTTGGGAGGGGGTGTCTGATGCACGCTCCATGTGCAGAGGCTGATGTCCTCCAAGCCGGCAGCCCGGGTACAGACCTGTGGCTCGTTTCCCACTTCTTCCTCCCCGCTCTCTTGATCCTGTTTCCAGCTGTTTCAGCTTTTCTAACATTGAAGGCATAAAAGGGACGCCAGCAGCCTATGGTGATGGTTAGTGCCTACACCATGTATAGAGGCGAAAGTCCTCTAAGCGGGTGGCCTGGGCTCGAATTCCACCTGTGACCAAATTGACTCCATCAGTGGACTGTGTCAGTGAGAAGGTGTGTACGCAGTGGCATGACCTCAACATCCACCAAGATGTGTGCAGAAAGTGAGAGTGTCACAGGGTTCTGGAAGTTTTTGGGGCGCTGGTGGTCTAGTGGTTAGTTTGCACACCATGTACAAAGGCTGTTGTCCTCAAAGCGGGGGGCCCGGGTTTGACCTTTCCTACATGTCATTCCCCTCTCTCTCTCCCTCTCTCCCTGATTTCTGACTCCATCCACTGTCTCTAATTTGAAGGTATTAAAAACCAACAAATAAAACCTAAATAAATTAAAGAAAAACCTACATATTTTCTTATCTTCCCAAATCCCCCCCGGGCCAGCTGTAAATGATAAATGATCGAGTGTTGAGTGCAGAATACATATTTATAGGTCTTGGCTAGACTGTTACGTGCAGAGCATCAGTGTTCATGAGTCAGTTGCCTCAGGCCTGCACTGCTTCAGATTTTAAAGAAAGTACACGTAATAAGCGTGTGGTAGAGGTTTGCATCAATTATCAATATCAAGACCTGTTGCAATGATTCTGGGGTCAAAATCTGCACGTTCCCTTCCCCCGGAGAAGACGTATGAGGGTCATGAAATCAGGTCTGATACATTCTTCTCACAGTTGACATTTTCAATCTCATATTATCAATTATTTTAAACATTTAGGACTGATCCGCAGCAGATCAAAAAAGAGCAAACCTAAAAAAAAAAAGGCTAGATGTGTTTATGGATTGAGTGGAAAAAGTCCTCTGAGAACTAAATATGTTCATGGTCGTCACACGGGAAAACAAAGGACACCCAATGAGCAGATCAAGGAGGTTAAAATCACTCCTAACACACCTCACACCACAGGAGAATCTGGTGAGAAAATCGGGCCTTTGCTGACTTTGGTCCAGCAGAGGGCGCTCTCAGTGTAACTTGACCAATGCGTGACCTCAGTAAGTGAAGACACTGATGTTGTGGCAAAAGCAACAGGCCGGGGTGTGATTCAGGAGATGCAAACTAACATAAAGGAGAATTGTTTCTCTGCAGACAGCATGTGGGGTTCAAATGTTACTTGTCATATTCTAAATTCGTTCAAAGTCAATTTTTTTTCCATAAGTGACAACACTATTATCTTGTAGTGTGTACCCCGCTTTGCATTGTGTGGAAACTACGTCGTCTCATGTCTCATTCAGCAGTAAGTAAACTCTCAAAGGGTAGAGAACAAGCAGGACGACAGGGAGGCTGTGATTGGTTCATCAGATTGGTACCTCGTGGCAGACATTGGTTGAAGTTTTTAGAGGCTTACTGCTATGGATGATGGATTTTCTTTGTTCCTTTTTAAGAGAATATGAGTTTAAAAATTTCTGTCAGGACCTAAAGACAATTTCAACCAGAATCTGAAAAAGTGGATCTGGAGAAAATTACCAACCCTACCTTTAAGCTCCTACATTTTATGGATATTAAATTCTAGTCAGTTAAGTATAAATTCATGTCATCTATGTCTTTATATTTACTGAGAATTCATTTTAATGTTGTTTTAAACTTGAAAACTTTTTGATTTTTAGAAGACAAAAAAATAGAAAAAACGATCAAAGACTTTCTTCTTATTTGATAATGACCTGCACTAACTAGCGAACACCCACTTCAAAGTGTGATCCTACAGAGAGCAGG